GAAGGGTTGAGCATTAATCGCCACACTTGCTCTAAACGGATTGTGTGGTTGTGATCAAACAGTACATAAAATTCTATTTAAGTGTGGGAGAAGCATGTTGGAATGGGTCGGCTCCACCGGAGTGCCAAGGCCTGTCAGAACACCGGTGTGAAACAACATAACACCGTGGTGTCTCGCCGTATGAGTGAGGTTACCGGAGGCCCAATCCTTCCCAAATCCAAAAATCATACAAAAAAAAGGTCGACTACGTACTCATAACTAACTTGTCCATGGGCGGCGCTGATTGCTTACCATCAGGCAATACGAAAGATCGTTTGCCGTCCTACAACATAAAAAAATGGTACCTACTTGCCATCACAGAGTACATTTTAGTATCCTTGCCATGTTTCAAATCTACAGACCACCATCGACAATGTGTAAGTTTTCTTTATAAAGAATGCCTTAGAATTGTACGTTTGTAATGAATGAAACAAATGAATGAAATAACTTTGGACAGCACCAAATTTGACCAGAACATCTCATTGAATAAAATGCTTAGTGTGTAACTTTTAAGTGTCCCAGAAAACAGTTTATAGTTAATAATAATGAGAGATATCGACATTTTTGAAAAGCTTTGATTGTACCTACGGGTAAAAATATTACATCTAAAATTAATATCTATTACATATTAAAATAGTTACATCCATTTAATATTACGATATTAAACGGATGTAACTATTTTTTAATCGTATTTGAGGCTCATTGCTCGCGCCACAATGTTGTCATAATGGTCTGAAGTAGGATTTGGCCCTAGAGCTTCGTGCACAGATTTATACTTTTTTTCTCTTTCCAGTTATATTCAGATGCTTACCCTTAGTGGACACCTACAGAAAACACATCAGCGGCGACTCCGCTCTAACATCATAACCTGTAAATACAATTGGTTAAGAAAAATAAAAATCAAAAAATAATTTTAAACTTTTTCATTTTATATTTTTGTACTATCTACTATATACAATGTGGATATTAAATATCTATAGAAAAAAACATCGTACAACAAAACTTAAGAGTTAACGCGAATACTAAAATAACACTGTTCCTAATGAACTCATACACTCATTTTCTTATGAATAAAAAAAAACTTAAAACTCGTCATCTTTTCTCCAGAATAAATTGAGAGCGAAGGTTGGAATCCCCAGTCATATAATTACAAAAAAAAAAACTTCTTAACTCTTGCTTTTTAAAAAAAATTGGTTAAAACGACTCGATGTTTACATAATGACAAAAAAACTACTAAATCAGTACAACTTAGCTCTCAAAATAGTATGGAACAAAAAAATTCGTGAAACAGGATAAAAGTTCAATAAAAATGCGAATATATTTGCAAAAAAGCAACTGAAAGTTTTTTTTTTAATATGAACACGTTTTAAACAGGCCCTGTTCCGTTTCCTTGTGACTCTGTGAAGAATCTTTCTCTAAAGCAAACCTGAGTTCTCTTGTTCTAAATAAATAATTGTCAAAAGAAAACAGTCCTTCTGCATCTAACTATAAGGCTTATATATAAGAAAGGCACCATGCTCGCATTAAATAAACTCTCATCCAGTTTCACTTACATATCATTCAATATTACAATTTAACAATAATTTCGGTTCATACAAAAATCGATTACAAACATCGCGACTAATACTAAAAAAAGTACTTTCGATATTTTAAAAATTACATCAGTATTTATTGTTGGTTCCACGAAACGAAAAATTAAAAACGAAACAAGCCGTATAGCGTATTAGGTAGGTACAAATATTTCCGAGTCACTCCGAGGCATAAAATACAAGGCATGATTTCATTGAACTACTTATATATTTACGCAAAAAGGAAAACTTCTTTATATATTTAAAACTGCGCAAATTGACGCTTCGATAAAATTATGTTATAATACAATATACGCGAATAGTCACTCGCTAACAATCTTTCTTCACACAATTGGTCAATATTTTTTATTAACACCTAAAGCATTACACACTGAATGCACAGACTCGCACATTACTTGCAACTTTTTGATAGAGAACTTTATACAAGCATGTTTAATAGAAAACAGAACTCAAATTTCATCATGGTCCTATAATATATTGAAATAGAAATGTGATAAATGTTGTAAGAAATGTATCCCGTTGTGACTTGAAGTCAGAAGATCTTTTCTCGGTTAGAATTCACGTGAAAAAGTCGTTATTCAAAAAAGTATATTTCAATAATTAAAAAAAAAATGTCGAATCAAATCTGTTACATTTTTAGTGACCGCTCTACCAAAAAATTGCAAGTATTTTGAAACATTTCATATATAACTATCCTTAGTTACTTACGAAGGCTCTGCAGGCATATTAATTTATTTATTTCATTATTATATTAGTTATATCAATTTCTACCGAAAACGAAATCTTATCTAATATACATACATAAAAGTTTTTTAATAATATTTATAAGTAAACTAATTCACAAAACGTTAAATTTTTCATCAAGTTTAGTTTACATTTTTACCGAAACTTATTTTGGCACTAGAAATTATCATACTGTAATAATAAAGTAAAAATGTCCAATTTCTATGTCAAATCCCAGTGAGATCATCAACTTAAATTAAATTAACTTTTTTATATTTCCAACTCGACTTAGGCTTGTTACATCCGTATTATGAGGAGAACATACACGACCGGGTCACGCAATCGAAAAACATTTATTAATGTAATTAATCTGGTATGGTGTTTAATCTGAAGTCGACATTATTGGGCAAAACGTGGTTGACAACAACTTAGTTCCATAGTATAAAGAGAAGAGAAAGAGTAGGCTATCTCCGGCCCAATCCGCGATATAATTGCCTACTGTCTTAGGGTTGTCTCTTTTAGCAAAATTTTAATTCAGTGCCTATAAATTGGCAAGGGTCGGGAAGTTGTATTTTTTTACTTGTAACTTGTTCTTGTGTACTTGTGCGATAGAAAACTAATACAACAAAAAATAAGTAAGTAGGTATCTCAAAATCAAGTAAAAAATATATGCTAGAATGAGTGACTAGCTTACCTTTCTTGTTCAATAGGTAATCTGAACAGAGACAATTCTGGAATCGATGAATTGTTAAGACACCCAAACACACAGTTCTCCTGCGATTATCAGACATTTTGTTTTGATTTAGCGGTGCCGAAAAACAGTGACGCGCGAACCCCGTGCAGTGTTAGCCCCGACAGGCGCACTGCGAAACGGGTCGAGATTTTGTTACAGTGTGTGTGCGTCGACGCGTAGATACTATGGCGCACACAAACAAGCCGCGCGCGTTTGTATGAAGATAACCTACTTTCCTTCTCGTTATACTATGTTAGATCTAGCGAATACACATACACACATAGTTGAACATTTTCTGTGTTGCAAATATGTATATCAATCATATATTAATAATATACTGACTATATAATAATAGACTGAACAATCGTGAAACAAAATGCGTTTAGTCTCACATTAGTACCAACTTGACTCGCGAGTTGCTAACAGAAAAGTGTTGAATTAGTGAAGGAAATTGATATACAATGAAACCTCAGTTGTCATATGTATGCGCTATCTCTAAATCAACCGAATTATTTGTTGCAGTCTCTCCTTAGACAGACAAGGGCTGCAGGAGTGGTTGTACAAGCCATGGTGTTCTGTCTTTACCCCAAAAGCAAAAGACAAAATTGCACAAATTCTGTTGGTAAACTCGCCATAGAACACAGCACTCAACTCCACTACAAATTTCGATTTTGAATAGGGCAGCACAAGGTTCTGGAATGAACAACTTATTTGAAACAAACCCTCATACAGATTATGTTCAAAATCAAGTTCAATTTTGAGATTTTTTATCAAGATCGGTGAAAGTTTCGGACGTAATAGAAACGCAATCGAGTTTTCAATAAAAAGGTATAGAGCAACGACCAGAAGGCACGATTCATCGGGACTCTTGATCGACTTAGGAACACTAACAGCATAATAGCGATCATACCACCCGTATCATCGAAAATTAAGGACTTAGAGCACTATCAGCCGGGGTTACGGGGTAGGCACAATAAGGGCCTCGGCCTAGAGCAGGAGAAGAAACGGGGGGTTTTAGTCAGTAAGAGTCTGACACTTCGACCCGCCCCACCCTAAGCAGAAGTAATTTGACGATTTTCCCCTCACAAAAATAAAGGGCACGTTTAATCCTGAATTGTGATCAGTACCCTATTGCCGAGACAACACAGTAAACATTACTTAATAACTTTCATAATGCAATAACCATATAGACTATACGCGATTTTGGCAGCAAAAAAATTGTATTACCGGGATGCTTTATTGAAGAATTCATACTATAAAAACAGCAGATAACCGACACATCGTGTTAAATAAGTATGTAAGTACTGGAACTGATTTTTAATGAAAAAATCGCTCAACTATTGTTGAAAACACAACACAACATCCGTTCGTTACAGGCAGTACACTAGCGACTGTTTGCATATCAAGCGCATACCGACATCGCTCGTTGACATAGCTCACGTTTTATCGGTTTGGATGGAGTTGGAATACTGTATAGATAGTATTACCGTGACTATATTAATATATTACACTAGCAAACCCGGCGAACGCCGTTTTTCCACCAGATGTATTTAAAAAAAAAGATATTGCCGCTTTTCTGTTGAAATTTTCACGGAGCCCGAAACTTTTTTGACGAATGCAAAATCGTGGAAAACGTTTCGTGCGTTCTGGAGTTATAGCGTCAGGAAGTAAAACCCGACTTTTACGTCAATTATAAAATAATCACCTAATAGGAAACTTTGCCACAGTTATGGGACGAACAACGAACCAAATCCTGGTCCAATAGCAGATCACATTTCTTAATCGGTTTTCTTATTATGCAGCAATAGGACAAAGATAGTAATAAAGATTTTCTGACACTAGAGGCGCTAGTGTAGCTTTAGGTCTATTGCCCAATAGAGTATTCGACAATCTCAAGTCAATAATCAGTCAACTTAGATCAGATAACTAATTTGTTGAGAACCAAAAGCGCACGTAAAAACCTCATTCTCGAAAACCAAAACACTAGTTTGATGAAAAGGGAAATGCAGATATTCAGACCGTTTCCATACTAGGTCCGGCCGAAAACTGTGAAAATATAGGTCTAGAACACTGGGATAGCATTCGCATTTTCTTTGAAAGAAATCAGATGACTGATAACAGATATAGTGCGTAAACTACAATAGAAATAGTTCTACAACTATGACGGTCCTTTAGAATATAGTGCAGAAATACTCAAAGTCAGAAACGAAGGCGATTCGTAGATAGAAAAACAAAGAGTGCAGTACATCTATGGGATGGAGAGAAATACCCTAGAGTATAGAGAAAGATTACATGAGTCAACCATTACTACATAATTAGTAAACACAATATGTATTCTCTGTTCACTTTCTTTTAATTTACAATTAAATTTTCTAAAGCACACTTATGAGGGATTCGTTCTATTTTAATAGTAACTGTTATTGTTTATATGAAAGGTTCTCATACAAAATTTTAAGATTCATCAACAATTATCGGGAACAAAGTACACTTGTACTTACTAATATTAAATTTAAAGTTTCTTCCAATTTGGCCAATGTACCCAAAACAATTTCTCATATGAACACGGAATTTATTGCACAGTTTCTCATCCATAGAGGTCCAATCACATATACAATAAAACCTCTAATCGAAAGAATCTTTTTTCGAAACCAACAAAAAATTCAAAAAGAGAACACATCAGACTTACTTCGAAATGAAACTCGCAAATTTATGTTCCATGTTTGAATCACTGCACGTCACGCACTGTCTTTGGTCACTACACTTAACTGACACTCTGATTGGCTATCGACACTATAGGTTGCTGGTTATTGGATGAAATTACTGTAGAGCCGGGAGGTATCTTTTGTGGGACCATCCCGTCTATATGCCTGTACTTCTTGAGTCTCGTCCACTGGCCGTTATTGTAGTTCATTTGGAAATGCATCTCTGATAGCATCGTGAGGTAAGTGTCGTCCGACTGGAGAACATTCTCGATGTTTTCTGATAATTTTATTGTTACTATGTTGCCTAAGTTCGGACATGGATTATCTGGAACAAAAAAAAACATAATTATCATACCATAGATAAACACCATTTTCATTTGAAGATATACATAATGTACAAGTCACTAACTACCAGTGCCGGATTAAGCCAGCGCGGGGCCTGTAGCAAATTCTGTCAAGGGGCCCTTGGTTTGCTATCGGTTCTCAAAAGGGTATTAAATAAAACAAAACTGTTACAAATTTAGCGATTACACTTTCAATATCGACTTTTTTAAGCAAGTCATGGTCTATATTCAACTTAAGACGTTCTTGGCCCATAGTGTTCCTTAATTCATTTTTAATTCGTTTCAACGTTGAAAAAGAACGTTCGCCACTGCAGTTAGTGATCATGAGAGACAGTAAATACGCAAGGCAATTTCTAAATTTGGGAAACACGATTCTAAAGAATTATTTAATAAAAGTTTATAAAATTGCAGTTCCAGAGGCTCCTGTTTCTTGCTGTCAATTACAGTAGCCACATCTGTTTTCAGCAGCTCTGCGAACTGCACTAATTCGCCGTTCTCCAAATCATCTTCGTAAGCACTGAACATCTTTGACGATTTTTTCAAAATCTCTTCAGTTGCAAGAGATTTTGTCAGTCGAAATACTTCAAAAACACTAGTAATTTTATGATATGCTTTCATACGTTTAGTTATAGCAGACAGTACGTTATCAATTATGACAACAAACACCTCAAATTCGAAACGTTGTCCAGGTGAAATGATCGTACTTTGTATTTCGCTTGATTCGTCGTGATGTCTGTTGCTGGTATTCTTCACAGTTAGTCAAATCTTTGGCTCTTGCCTCTAATATCTGAAAATTAGGATCGCATTGCTTGGACGTAGCCATATATTGATTCATAAAGGGCGTATCCCGTATTAAGGTCTTGATCAGACGATTGTGAAATAAATAATTTTTAACAAAAATATTCCGACTTCAAAAAGTAAACTAGAATGCAAAAAAATTTTTTTTGTAGAAATTATACATGTTTTCACTTAGTTGAATAGAAAAAATATTAATAACCATTTTATAATTTTGAATTCGGTGCCAAGCAAAACAAAAATAGTGTAATCTTCACCTATATAGCTATTGTTAGTTTGATGATTAGGAGGCACCGATCAATATTTTTCTAATACTGTTGCTGTTTGGTATGACTTGGATGATTCAATTGGCAGAGCAAGCAAGGATAATGGTTTTCGAAAGAGAAGACGACGACTACTTGAGACTGAAAATCACGATAATAGTAGTAGTCCTGAGTTAGTCAGTGTTCAGTGCTGTAAATCGCTGAGGAATTCCCTCGACTGTCAATGGTCTCCATCATCATTTATACTGCAGACCTTCAATATACTTACGTAATCCGTATAGGTGCAAAGTTCTCATCAATATAAATGAATTAAATCCAAGCGCAACATAATTACTCCAAATAGTCAAAGAGATCTTTCGACAGTCTTCCTGCACCATCATCAGATTTACTCCATAACTTCATTGTAACCCATATAGGTGCGAAGTTTTCATCGATATAAATGAATTAAGTCCAAACACATTAAGTCCGGTAGCGATCGCCGAATTGTCAGGGTCATACTGAATATTAATGTCAAGCTGGAAAGGTCACGCCTGGTGAAGTCGACACTCCGTCCTTGCCGCGCTCAAATTCAGAACCCCGAACCCTTTCAACTCCAACTCCATAATCGCTTCCAGTGCCTTACCGATTGCGAAACCGTGGACGAAATAAATAATGGGTTGGTGGAAACTGTCCGAGCAGTGGGGTCGGAATTCTTTAAGACCTCGAAACAAGCCTCAAAAGCTCTCGAACGGAACATTAAAGCTCCTGAAGCACCGAAATGAAATGAGACTACAGTCTTCAGCCGATATGTCAGAGTACGGTAACCTCAATAGGCGAATTTCAAAAGCCATGCGACGCGATTTGAGTGCATACAATACTGCTCGAATTAAGGAGGCCATCGAGCGAAAGCAGGGCACAAAAGTCTTCGCAAAAAAATCGTCTATTGGGCAAAGCCAAATAACGAGGCTGAAGACCGATAATGGTAGCATCGTTTCATCGAAATCAGAGATTCTGAGAGAGCTCGAGAGGTTCTACGGACAGTTGTATACCTCAACACGGCGACCCGTTGTCGGTGCAGCTCGGGACCCAAGAGCTAAGCTGACACGACACTACACTGAGGATATCCCAGACATCAGCCTGTACGAGATTAGGATGGCTCTCAAGCAGCTTAAAAACAACAAGGCACCGGGCGATGACGGAATCACAACAGAACTTCTGCGAGCGGGTGGGAAACCGATACTTTTAGTCCTCCAAAAGTTATTTAATTCCGTCATACTCGAAGGTAGTACACCCGAATCATGGCAAAGAAGTGTTGTAGTTCTGTTCTTCAAAAAGGGAGATAGCACTTTGTTGAAAAACTACAGACCTATTTCACTTCTGAGTCATGTGTACAAGCTGTTCTCGAGGGTCATCACGAACCGTCTCGAACGCAGGCTCAATGACTTCCAGCCTCCCGAACAAGCCGGGTTCCGGAAAGGCTTTAGCACCATAGACCACATACATACGCTTCGCCAGATTATACAAAAGACAGAGGAGTATAATCAGCCATTGTGTCTAGCGTTTGTGGACTATGAGAAAGCCTTCGATTCGATCGAAACCTGGGCAGTGCTGCAGTCTCTCCAGCGATGCCATGTCGACTGTAGATACGTCGACGTGCTTAGGTGTTTGTACAGAAACGCCACCATGCTCATTCGGCTCCAGGACGACTGCACAAAACCAATCCAATTGCAGAAAGGCGTGAGGTAGGGAGACGTAATTTCTCCGAAACTGTTCACGAACGCATTGGAGGACGTTTTCAAGCTCTTGAACTGGAGTGGCTTTGGCATCAATATCAATGGCGAATACATAACTCACCTGCGCATCGCCGATGATATAGTCGTTTTGGCAGAGTCGTTGGAGGACCTGAACACCATGCTCATCGACCTTGATGTCGTTTCCCAACAGGTGGGTCTGAAAATGAACATGGACAAGACGAAAATCATGTCTAATGTCCATGTTGCACCTGTACCGGTCATTGTTGGGAACGACATCCTTGAAGCTGTTGACCATTACACATACCTTGGTCAAATCATTCAGCTAGGTAGGTCCAACTTCGAGAAAGAGGTCGCCCGAAGAATCCAACTCGGATGGGCGGCGTTCGGGAAGTTACACGATGTCTTCTCATCGAAAATCCCACAGTGCCTGAAGACCACGATGTTTAACCAGTGTGTGTTGCCGGTGATGACGTATGGTACTGAGACGTGGTCCTTAACTTCTGGCCTTCTTTCTAAACTCAGCGTCGCTCAGCGCGCGATGGAGCGGGCTATGCTCGGGGTCTCTTTGCGCGACAAAATCCGAAATGTGGAAATTCGCCAAAGAACCAAAGTCACCGACATAGCTCGTAAAATCTGCAGGCTAAAGTGGCAATGGGCAGGCCACGTCGCTCGAAAGACGGACGGTCGATGGGCCCGAAAAGTCCTAGAGTGGCGACCAAGGACCGGAAAACGTAGTGTGGGCAGGCCTCCCACTAGGTGGACCGACGACATCGTCAGAGTCGCGGGGAGCCAATGGATGCAGGTGGCAACTTGTCGTTCGACGTGGAGAGCCAAGGGGGAGGCCTTTGTCCAGCAGTGGACGTCTTCCGGCTGATGATAATGATGATGATGAAGTCCAAACACGAGGTAGTTACTGTGAACCGTTCAGGAATTCCCTATAAACTGTCCTTCGTTCTCATCATCAAACCCCTAATGGCAGTCACGACCTATTTGGTGCAAAGTGCTCACCAATAAGAAACACAAGATAACTACTTCAAATAATCAAGGAGATCCTTCAACTGTCTTCCGGCTCCATCATCACGTCAAGTTCGACTATCGGCAAGTTGTAGCACTACTCGCCCCTACAATTTTCGAAAGTTCCCCTCGGTTTCCCTAGGATTCCATCATCAGATCCCGACCTCATGAAAATGGGACCCTCTCGGGAGTATAACCTTTCAAACAAAACAAGAATTTTGGAAATTGGTTTATAAATGGCGGAGTAATCGGTGAATATACAAAAAACAAACAATCAGTCGAAGTCAAAAGCAGGGGGTACTATGTTAGTACCCCCTCCTTTTTTTAAAGTCGGTAAAAAGATAATTGAATGAATTGCACACAGGCAGCGCTACGTCAATCACGAAAACAGTACTTGAAGCAATGTCAAGACAACTTTTCTCACAAATAGTTCACATTTAAAGTGCTTAGTAGTTTTTTATATTGAGTCAAAGGAAATATATCAATGTATATCAATTTCTTATTGTTTGATAGTCAATAGAATCCTAATTTATTTGTTCGAGTTACGGCTAGCTCGATCGATGACAATATCATGGAATTCCCCAAATGGTTTTGCAGTGTTGCCAACTTGTGTTTAGTGCAGTGCAAGTAGTACAACACATAACTTGTGTGTGGCTAGCGCTCAATTTAAAAGATGTGGTACAATTTCAAATTATTGTTGTTCATTTTGGTACCAACATTTTTCGTGATAGATATTATACCTAGAGCTGAGGCGGAAATAGCCGTGCGCGCAGTTCGCGTCGGCTCGGTTCGCCCGCCAATGGCACCAGCCGAGCGGACAGATACTCGCTTTCCTTTTCTTACACATACAAAATACCGACTATTTGTCTTTTTTCGTTTATTTCGTTAAGAAAAAAATAAAATTACTTGCAGTTTGGTAGTAGTTTTGTAAACAAAACATTTTCTACATAGGTCTTGCTGTTGAAGTGGTGTATTTAGGAAATACCTATTTGAGCGCGGGGCCCTCCAACTCGCGGGGCCCGTAGCATTTGCTACTCTTGCTACGTGGCTAATCCGGCACTGCTAACTACTATTATTACATATTTCCTTAGCTTTCATGACATTCCAATGAATTCAACATTTTAAATATACATTTTAGACAACCTTTTGTGAAAACAAGTTGCCACAAATTCGCCCTGGGTGGGGCGAAAGGAGTGTCAAACTATTACCGACTAAATACTTACCATCCCGTCCCATCTCCTACGTACATTATTGCAATATTTTTTTTATAAGTATCTTACATTCGTAACAATTTTACTATGGATGAGCCGACCTGGCAAACTTCATACCGCCTCAAATATAACTTATTTTTTTACTTACCATAAAGCTACCACGTGTTTCTTAGAATATTCGAGACCACAATAAGCCATATCGCTTTAGCCCTTCTCGGTTTTTTACAAGATTTAAACTTTACATAATACATATAAGGTTTATTTTCGTACCTCTGGATCCGGCCATGAAACCAAGTATAAGCGCCTTCTCGGGTCTCGTGACGCGGTTCGCGTTACGGAACATGTCTTGCGCTTCCAACATTTGTTCACGCTGAAATTAAAAACAGAATCATAACAGTATTATTCAAATTTATCTAATTTGATCCTTGTTGAACTCTATAATAATATAGTTACAGTTTAAATTCAAATTTATGCTTTCGTGCATTTTTTTTATTGAATGATTTTTTTTTGCCCTAATCACCAGGCTTGGCAGTTAAATTATTTGTTTCTCAATGAAACAATGGTGTTGCCATATAAATAGAATGAAGTTTCTTGCTTGTTGTTCACAATACTGAATTTTTATTATTACTTATTATTAAAAAAAGTTTGTGTTACACTAGGATTTTGTTCCGTCGTGGATACGTTTACCAACATATAATTTAACATACATACACATCACACCTAGACTTGGAACAACAATTTGCGATCACACGTAAAGTTGTTCTGTATCGAACTCATAACACATTGACATAACACAAACAAGCAGTTATTGTCACTGATGGAAAATTATTTTTTTCTTTTCTTTTGTATATGGATCAAGAGAAATAGAAGTTTTGAGTTTGAAAAATTGTACGTATAGGTATATTACCGTGAGCGAGAGTCCCCTGCGCGGCAGTAAGGGTTGTCCCTGCGCGGCGGGCAGCGCGGGCGCGGCCGGCGCCGCCGCCGGCGCTGGCGGGGCCGACGGGGGCACGCTCGCTGGTAGCTGTACCTGCGGGTACGATACATTGTTAATTACACAAATACAACGACCACTAGGCAAACATAATACTTAGTAAAGTTCGCAGAAAATTACTGAATGTAGATCGCTTCTAATCTATTTTCTTTTGTGCGGGGTAATCATCAAATGAGTTTCTCCTGCCCAGGATGGGGCAAGAGGGAATGTCGACTCTTACTGACTAAAAACCTGTCTGGAAGTTAGGATCACTAAATCATCAGTTAAATATATGCACTGCTGAACCACAATTCTCTTTCAAGAGTCACAATTGTGACATGATCTCATCCAGATCCGGATCCTAATGTCCAAGCCAACTATCAATCGCATCACCTTTCTATTTTCTCCTGTCCGGTGGTAGCGTTTACAAACATACACCCAGACCTGGTAAAGCGATTAATGGATTACACAAATACTTGTCCCATACTTGAATCGAACCCACGAGATATGAGACTCATTAAATAACAAATATAAAGTAAACCACAAATAACGAAGAAGGAAACATGTCAACCAACCTACCACAAGAATATCTTAAAAATGATGAAGTAACATACCGGCTGTGCGATCTGGTGTTGAAGGGGAGGCTGTGAGTGTACCGCGGGGACCACGGACCGCGCCGTCTGCTGGACTACTGTCTGCGCCATCTGGAATAAGGAGGTGTTATGTTGTAAACAGGGGCATTTCCTGACGACTGTAGCACGCCATAGCTAAACTTAGTCGACCTTACTACAAAACAAGGTTTTTCTTTGGTCTAGGTACAAATCATTGTACCAGTTTTTCTATATTATTTAAATTCAAAACCTGACTAAAGTTTTTAAAAGTAGGGGGTTTAGTTCAAGAAATGGAAATTATTAGCGTGACACACGGTTTTGAACAGATCTCAAAACGCCTTACAAAGGTATAACAAGTAAACAATGAAGAACAACAGGCAGAGAAGTGGCTTTATTTCTAAAAATGATATTTACTAGGAAACCATTTTTTGCAATATTATCGTATAGAAAAAAGAACAAACTAATAATGAACGAAATAATTGCTGATAAGACTTGATCGATTTATAAAATTATAGAGCGTTATAATAACTAAAAAATTGTAATTACTCAATCTTTTAGAACGCCAGAAAATAGTAGATACGTATTTCTATATTTTTTCTTTTACTTCTAAAAATTAAAATAACAAAGTTAATTCAATTCAATTCAATTCAATTCTTTATTTGCATTCCATATGTTATACAGGTGATATTTTATAAAGTTGACACAATATATTAGAAACAATATGGACCCGTTAGGGCACAGCATAAAGAGTTTGGAGAGGTTTATTATACAGTATATATTATCTAGTTTTGTATTATATCTATGCTTATTACTAAAACTGAAGTACACATGTTGTATTCTTACTTAAACTTATTAATACTTATCTTAATGTATGTGTGCGTGCGTGTATTTGGGTGTAAGTGGATGTGTGTGAGTGTGTGTGTGTGAGTGTGTGTGTGTGAGTGTATATGTGTGTGTGTGTGTGTGTGTGTGTGTGTGTTTGTGTGTGTGTGTGTGTGTGTGTGTATGTGTGTGTGTGTGTGTGTGTGTGTGTGTGTGTGTGTGTGTGTGTGTGCATTTGTGAAATTATATGTAAAGGCTTATTTATTTATTTATTATTCGTTATATTTTGTTTTATATTTTAGTTTGTATTGGTGTTCATTATTTTTTTATTGACTTATCATCCATATATTCTTTTATTGTATAATAACATTTAGAGTGTAAAAAGTTCTTTAATTTATTTATAAACGTAGATGTTTTCGTTTTATCTTTGATCGTTTTAGGTAAGTTGTTATATATTTTTATTGACATTATTAGCGGACCGGAAGAGCGGCGAAGTTCGCGCTACGTCATTATTTCGTAATTTTTTTACGAAAGAGTGACGTCACGAGCCCCTACTCCTGAATTTGAATGTGCTGTATCTTTGTCAATATTATTCGTATGGACAAATAAAAAAATACGTATCGAGTATTTTTCTATAATCTAACTGACGGACTAATTAACATCTTGTTGTTTTAACCCAGCAGACATCCCTATTAAGTAGAAGTATTTGGTAGAGTTAAATTTATCGTGAAAAATGACAATGTAAGTGCAAATAGCACTATATTTTTTACATAAAGTACTATAAATCTCCTAATGCCAAAAACAAGTTTAGACTGAATGTACACTTACAGGTTTAATATTCTGCAACAGTACAGCTTTGCCGCCAGGCTGCAGTATGACTGTGGAAGTGTTGAGTAGGTTCTGCGTGGACAGCAGTAGCGGCTTGCCCCCAGCCGGGCCGGCTATCAGGAGCTTCGGTTGTTGACCTATCACTATCGGCTTCGCATTTGTGCCCTGCAGACAGAATATATGTTAAAACAACAGAACATACATCAGATAGACTGATAAACACATTACTTCTCTTTTGTGTTGCAGTCGGAAGTAGCAACTTGTATTAAATAACTTTAGACACAGTTAATTTAAAAGATGGGAATATTAGAGAAGACCTTCGTCAACAGGCAAATTAAATTGGATATTTTTCCTCAGTCAAAAATCCTTCAACGGTTCAATACAATTAAATATTAAAAAACGATCATATTTCATTGATTGGTTCAACGATATACATAACATTATATGTTAATGGGTATATATAATATTATAAATGCGAAAGTAGCTCAGTCTGTTAGTCTGTCTGTCTTTTCTTCACGCCTAAACTAATGAACCTATTTGTGTAAAATTTGGTACAGACATAGTTTGGAACTCGAGAAAGGACATAGAATAATTTTTAAAACAAAAAACTGCAGGAAGTCACTATCCCACGCGCACAAAGTCGCGGGCAAAAGCTATTGGGTTATATTTTAAGGAAAAAGTATGTTATACAAGAAAAAATGTAACGACGTCACAAGACAGTAATAGTAGTTTTTGACACTTCGATATAAGTATTGAAATTGACTAGTTGAAATATACCGTATTCATATGTTGTGTAATACTTACATGTACAAGTAGCGGGCTGGCGAGGGGTGGCGGGGTGTCGGGGGTGGCGGGGGTAGCGGCGGGGGGACCTGCTGGTGGGGGGGATGCCGCGGGGGGCGGCGCCGTCTCCGTCGTACTTGATGATGTCGCTGCAAACGATATAAGATGTATTATAGCTATATGTGACATCGAAGACCTAAAATCAATTAAATAGAGTTATGGTGGTAGTAGCCGAAGGCTTTCTGTTATGAGGGGAAATCATTAAATTACTTCTCCCGCCCAGGGTGATGCAAGAGGGAATGTCAGACTTTTGCTGACTAAAAACAACCCTAATCCTTCTCTTGATCTAAGCAGGCGGGGATGCCTTATTGCGCGTACAACTTATAATGGTATTTTTGTGATTTTATTGAACTACAAATATGTAGAAACTTGTTTCAAACGACATTGTTTTTTATAGTACAGGGAACAATAAGTAGGGCGCTGTTTTGGGGATAAGCAGAAGTCTTAAAGGTTATTTTTGGTAATAAAATGGTTTATTCATACCATTAGTATTCTCGTCGGGCTTGGGAACAGTATAATTGTTGAGTCCTTTGGCGTAGTCAGGCGGCGGGGGCGACGGTGGCGCCGCGGCAGCTGCTTTCTTTGCGCCTTCCTCCATTTCTAAATCAAACAAAATTACTTTATTTACAAAACTCTCCTACTTATTAAATAAATGTTTATGTGTTTCCCTTTTACCCTTTGACACCGAATTCATAACGATGTTAACATAAGTTTCGCAAGTCGCGCATATAATAGTTTTGATTTTGAGCCCCGGTGCGATTTGAAACTAATCGAGCATCCTCGAACGAACAGTTTACGTGATGTTTTACCAATTTTTATAACCCGGGGTATTGTCTGTTGACACAATACATGGATAAAACTATGCATTTTATCCTACTAATATAATAGACAGCACGTTTGTAACTAAGGAAAGTTTTACATTATCTTTAACATAACTCTGAACGGATCTGAATACCATTTGCCACAGACCCATATGTATAATAGTGTGAAATAACATATAGGTGACTTTTTACCCTGGCTTTGCGGACGAAGCCACTGACAGAAACTAGTCATATGTAGGGAACAGAGAGTTAATTCCTTAATATCGGAAAAGGAGGATCCTTCGACCAGACGAGGTGTCTGTTGTATTTTTTTAATGTTGCCCCATACTTTTATCCGGTGTCGTACACAACCATACATAAGCCACCCAGACCCGGAACAACAATTTGTGGGTGTTCGGGGTTGGGGTGAGATTAAGATATACTAAGATTGAAGATTGTAAAGATTGATATATTTCAGTGAATAGTATGAGATTGAGCCGCGCCCCATATGCTATCCGATATGATAGCATCACTTAGGTGCTACATAAAATGTTCAATGCAGGTGGAGACGCAGTGTTGCAATTACGCTGACATACACGTTGCTCGGCAGCCAGTTGCCCAGCTACTGAGTCAACCGTGAAGTCAGTCACACTTACATATTACTATAATGCCAATACTCTCTATACTATATAACATACCAAGCTTCCTCCTCTTCTTGATCTGTGCGTGTGTAGCGGGCTGTTCTGTGATGTCGAGGAGTTTTATACCCGCGCGGGGAGGGGGGCGCGCCGCTCCACGCCATGTTCCACCACGAGCGCCACCGAATCGGGACGGTAGGCCTTTCAGTGGAGCTATATGGAGAAAAAATATCTTAGTACTGACACATATTTATTTAACTCTTTCATTACTACTACGAGTTAAACTTGCGTTAAAACTTACAAATTATATTCACAACATTATATTTCCTTACATATCCACCATGGATACCACTAACACCATAAGTTTCAATTTCCTTAAACAATGAACAAATGAATTTAACTAAAATAGGTAACAATAATTACACATTTGAAACATAAACTATAAGTACTATGTATGTATAATTATTTTTACCTTTAGGCAACAATTTCCAATACATTTTTATAGAAGTAATATATTTATTTTCGTCCTTTTAACCGCCATCTTTCAAAAAAAGTGCAAGCTTTAGAATAATGCTAGATGACCCGGCAAAACGGTTCGTCTGAAACTTTTCGTTTCGCCTCAAAATTAACTAAAGTTTTCTGACCTTCGCTTAGCTTCCACAGATAACAGGTAAGACCAAAATTAGACCAAACTGCAGCAGTCGTTTTCGAGATTTAGTGAGACTAACGCACAGCATTTCATTTTTATATCTATACTAATATTATAAAGCTGAAGAGTTTATTGTTTGAACGCACTAATCTCAGTAACTACTGGTTCGAATTTAATTTTTTTTTCGAGGAAGGCTAAAAACATTACTCTATGGTAAGTTAAGCAGCGTGTGATGCTTTCTATGATTATTTAGACACCACTGACATATGGTGAAGGTAAACATCGTGAGGAAACCTGGGCTTATAATTTCTAGTTAATTTGAAAGTTGAAGTTTGCATTGAGCAAGCGTGGTGATTAATGCTCAAACCTTCTCCGCATGAGAAGAGGCCTTTGCTCAGCAGTGGGCACTTATAGGCTGATGATGATGATGAAGCAGCGTGTGAAACCGCATGAGAGTAGCTAGTACTAGATATAGCTTACTTGTATCAGTCATCTTGCGCGGCATGCCCCTGCTACGGACGGGCACTGTGGGGGCCTGGGCCTTCTTCTGGTTGGCTTGCACCTCCGTCGCTTTAGTCAGCAGTTCTGTACGCAGTGCCACTGACTTAGGCTTGCGTTTCAATGTGAAATGCTTGACTGGATTCGGTTGTTGACCGACCTGGAATAATATTAATATTGTTAGTATAGGCCTGGTAAAATAGATAAGTCACTACTGACTAATGGATTGCCTATTTGACTAAGATCAGATCCCAGATCTTTCTGCCTGCGGACGACAGACTCGGGGCGTCTTGTCGTCCGACCAGCAGCAGGCCTCGAGGCGGCGGCGCCGTGTTCCGAGCGCGCCTCATAGTGGAGTCCTGCCTGCTGTCCTGCTGGTCGGGGTGACGGCCGCAGTGGGTGACGGGGCCCGCCTTACCATCTGGCGGGCCAATACCCGTCGGGGGGTTGCGACGAATGCTTCGGCGATACCCGCCCCTCCGACACATGGGTAAATGGAGGAACACCGGGTTGGTTTTAGTCAGTATGAGTCTGACAGTACCCTTCGTCCTTCCCCGAGGGCGGTGGGTCTCCATGAGGATTTTCCAATCCGAAAAACTGATCTTTTTAAACTGCCATCTCATATCAGGAGCAAAGTTAATATAAAGGCTAGACACTAGGATATATTCCTGTGTTGTGGATGTATTTACAAACACATTGATCTCAATCCCGGAACAGTAATTTGTTGATCATACAAGAAGTTAATCCATGCAAGAAAAGCACCAGTGTCTTTAACTGTTATTCTTATGTATATTAAAATAGTAATAAATTTACTAAATAAAAATTTAAATTACTTACCACAGAAACCAAAGCATTCTTATTCAAATAGAGGCACTCAAGTGGTAACAGTCCAAGATCTGAATGCTTAGCCAAAGCCCTTCTCAGTTCACTGATCATGTCACTGAATATCGGTCTGGTCTCGTCAAACTCTGCTATCTCGGTGTTAAGGGTACCAGCTGAGGGGAATGTTTTGAGGGTTTCCGCCAGCATGGCGACCCAGAGATCCGAGTCCACAGCTGCCACCTCAATAATCTCTTCAAGCTCATTTCTCCACTGGAAATAAAGGGGTTATGGTCACTATGTTGTTAATTGTAATAAATAAGTTTTGCAAATTGTCTCCCTCAAATGCAAGTTCGTTTTAGAACAATATTCATCATATTTCTTGTTATTCTATCATGTATTAATACAAAAGAGGAATAACATGGGTGTGTTAATTAACTAACTAAGTATTTGTGTTAATTAAAATTGTACCAATTTCTACAGTAGACCTTTATACCTCAGTGTTTCTTCTCAGAATAATCAAAAGTAATATATATATGCCTCATCTAGCTTAACTTTCATGTATTAACATGAAAACTGTTTTCATAATCTATTTACAAAAATAAATACAAACTATTTACATTAATTTCATATGTTCTACATATGCCACCCAAATGTTCTTTTGATTGGTATTGTTCGTCGGACAACTCAGCAGCACTAGCTATACTGGTTGCAAACTGACACTAGCGTGCCAGTCTTAAGAATGGGTCCACTTAAACTGGTGTGGTTCTTTCCTCAATAGAACTTGCACGGTTCTCACACATTACGTTATTTTTACATTGTGAGACTGACCTCTGAGTTTGTTTCGGCATTTCTTCTCAGAGTTGTCAGATGGGAAATGCTGACTTCATCTAGTTTTTTACATATAATTTGACATGTAAAAGTGCCATTTTATGGCCAACAAACATAAATTCATTGTTTGATACTAGTTGTGCCTTGAAGTTTCAACCATTTATTTATACCCTATGTTCACCGGGGATAATGTAGCTATCGAACAATGGAAGAATTTTTTAAAACCTACATGCAATTTCAGAGCATTTCCAATTCAAATAAACCAACAATCAAATCTTCCTTTTTAACAATATTAGTATTCATACTATTTCCTTTACATAACCTTTTAAAGACATTATTTACAATTTTACAATCTTACATACAATTAATTCAGTACTCCGTCACAGTTGTTAGGACCATAGGCAAACAATTTATTGACAATACAACTTGTATTGGTTAAATTGAAAGATTGGAGTCAATAAATAATGCATGTTGCTTCGTCTTGTTGATGTGTGTTATCTTGATTTTGTGGGGAACTTGTATGTTTTTTTGTTAACACATTACAATGTTACTTTTGTACCAAGTTGTTATATATTGTTTAAAAGTATAGGCAAGTAATTTTGTTAGTATTCTTAGGGTGTGTTACAAAATGTCTGGTTAAAACACTGCATACCTAATACATTTTAAATTTAGAACAAAATAATTAATGTGAATAACTGACCGTAGAAATTCTCAGGAACTTTTTGTTATTTATGTCAGAATAGGCAACAAGTAAATGGAATGTCTGATCGTAACCAATAATCACTCACCAATAGTGACCTAACTTGTTATTAATGACTACAGAGGAAATAAACTTTTCTACCAAATGTATGTATGTTTTTTGTATTGTTCAAATATTTTTGTATTATTAAGTTAGAAAGGTTATCCTACAATTGACTACCAGACATAAACATAAGAAAACATGAGGTATTCTCATTTAACATCAAGTTATTGTTTAGCATTTTAGGCTGAACTGAAATCTTATCCTCCTTTTACAGAGGCTGTTTACAATGAATATCTTTGCCTAAAGCAATTTTGATGTTTATTACTAGGGTCCTTGAAACCTATTTCACAACATGCCCAGAACATTATTCTATTATTAAATCTATTTCGAGAGATAGCCGTAAACAAATCGGTAGTTGTAAATTTTGTTTCAATAATTGCATTCTTATCAGAGTACTTGACAATTAAATTTACCTAATTGTTTCGTAATTTACTGGATGTAAATAGTTAGTCAATATTTATGGTCATCAAATTGGATCTAAACAGCCACAAATTAACCGCTAATGTTTAAATATAGCTTATTTGCCTGCAATATGTGGTAAAATAGCAATTAGAAAAATTAAACACAAATTCTAACATGTAAATTCAATAGATGACAACAAATAAAACTAATACATACATGCCATAAATGCATCTCATTCTCACTCACTATCATAAATACTGAATGAAAGAGATAAAAAACACAATACAGTTACGCAAAACCATAGAACATCAAAGAGAAAAGTTACCTCCTCAACATTTCTGCGCGGGATATGAAAGAAACTTAGCAATAATTTCAATTTCACTTGCGTTTGCAAATCTGGAAAACAATCCTTGATATTTTTTAACACTTCAGCATTTAATTGGGTACAAATTGAGCCGCTTGTCCACGAATCATTCGAAGTACCGAGTTTATTGTGGAGCCACAAAGATGTGTCACTATCCCGAACGTTCGCCATCTTGTAACTGAACTAGTGACGTATTCGCCATGTGTCTAGTGAACATGCTTTGAAATGAAGATCGATAAATCTCACGTTAATAATTATAAATAAAATAATAAATGGCGCTTAATATATCAATAAATTACAAAATGTTGTTTCTAAGTATAAAAATAAATATTCCATAGATATTTTCTCTCATTAGGCACAATTAAGTTTACAACCATGAGTCAATTGTATCGATAAAAGTGACGTTTGATTGTTGCTCCAACACTATGAAATTAATCTTTTTATCTTTGGACGCTTGTATTCTCGCATTCTTCACTTATGATCAATGTAAAATTCCGACCTTTTGTAATATTTTTTACATCTATTCCTTTGCGCTAAAATAGTGAAATAAGTCTTTTCCTGTCAACACTTATAACGGTGAATAGAGTTATAAATTTATAAGACGTATATTTTTCTAAAGATTATTTCGTGTTCATATATTATTAATTAATTATATTATTTACAGTTTTATAAATTAATAAAAACTTGTTAATATACGCAATATGTAATACAATAATCTTGCGACTAGCGTTTTAGTAGAAGTTAATGATTGAGTTAACGTGAATATCTGCTACACGTTATTGCTTTACCATAGACAATAAATGACTTTGACGCGCATTATTTGAATAATTGTTATTTTTACGTTTTATTGATCAAACAATTTTGCAAAAATATTGACGCCACTATCTAGGTATATCTTTGATTAATTTGTATAATATAATGTCTGAAGTATCGACAACACCCGTGGCGTTGAATATATATGAAGAAGCACTAAACGAAGATACTACGTGTGATCTTTCATCTCAAGGATTACAAGAAGTGCCCGAACTTACGAATACATACCTAAGTGTGAGTATAAATTTAATGAGGACATTAGTTACTCATACTCTGTTTTCATCAATACAACAAGACGTTACTCCCACAATGTATTGAGTTTTGTATTGCATACATTACTGACAAGTATTTAATTTCATTATCCTTAATATCCTTTTCTTTTGTTTTAAGAAGTATCAGACTTGAGAATAGCGACTAGCGACTTAAACGTTTATTTCATTAGGCACACCGAATACCTGCTGGGTTTTATTTTGTTCCAGGCCCTCTACTTACAAAACAATGCGCTAACAACTTTACCTAGTGATATCTTCATAACTTTAAAACATCTTAAGTACTTGGATTTAAGGGACAACCAATTAACGGATATTCCAACATCTATAAAACTACACTGCAATCTTTCACATTTGTTGTTACAAAATAATAAACTAACAACACTTCCGAACGAATTGGGAACTGTTCCAAATTTGAAAGTTCTACAGTTAGGCGGGAATCCGCTCATGTACCCTCCGAGGGAGATAATTAACGCGGGAGTTTCAACTGTCAAAAAGTTTCTTAATGAACAATTTATAGACGAAATGTTTGCAAATGACGAGTCACGATCGGATATCACGGGAGATGTCGTAAGTTCCAACGGATTATATCCTGAACACTATAGCCAAGATGGTCGAAGTTACAATTCCGTTCTGGACGAGGCCAAGTTGAAGAAAGCGATGCATGTTCGAGTGAATGAAAGAGACTCGGATGATTCAGACGAAGAATTGTATGCGAAAGTAAAGGGAAAATGTCCGAAGTTAGCAAAGAGTCGGACTAAAATGCCAACGTATTATCAAAGTTCAAAATATGTGAAACCGCCGAGATCAGACGGGAAAACATTATTTGAGGCGAAAATAAAAGAAAGCTATATGAAGGACTTGGCTTTGAAGAAGCATAAAGAACTGTTAGAATCAATGGACAAGATTTTGCAAGGAAGAAAGTGTGTTTTGTTATTATTTTTTTCCGTTTTCTCATGGCATCTCAAGTGTAATGTGCAGGCATTTGGCCCCTATCAAGCCTGGTGGTAAGTGATGGAACCTGCGATGGAGCACGTCTACCCATAAGCAACCTATTCACTCGGGCCTTGAAGACACCCTTCGGGGAACACAGACTCCGGTATAGAATTCCACTCCTTATGGTAAATGCCTGCCCATTATGAATAAAACATAAAAACGGTTTTCTCAAATAGCTAATAGTCTACTCGTCCTGATTATTGTACCTATAAAAATATATTACATACTCCTTTTTTTCTTCATTATTTTTGTAGCAGTTTTGCTAATTTTTATTATTTTTCTAAGTTATTCAAATCTTACGCAAATCTTTCAGAAACCTGGAACTACTGAAAAACTGGCGCTCAGACTATAGGATGGGTAAATATACGAAAAAAGGGTCTTACAAAATTGATTCGAATAATTATCCTTACGACACTAATCCGGACTACATGACGATTTTAAATAGAGATGATTTAGAAAAAGATTTGCCTGATAAATATAGAAAGAGATTGGTACGGAGATGCAAGCCTACAGTACCAAGAAAGAGTAACAATGATGTCCATTTGGCTCTGAAGATAAAACAATTGTTCGACAATTTGGAATCTATCGAGTTGAATAGAAAAGACATGACGCCAAGAACTGAGCAAAAAATGCTGATGAATGAGATACAAAAGGTGAGTACCAACCCGGTTCAAATAAGTTGACCCGGGAAAGAGGTTAAAGGTATCGTGTGAAATTTGTGACCGATATTTAAACAAGTGATTTATCATCATCATCATCAGCCCATAAGTGCCCACTGCTGAGCAAAGGCCTCTTCTCACACGAAGAAGGTTACAGTTACTCATTAGTTTTATTTTTATTACTACTTATAACAAACTTTGCGCACTCACCAAGCATCGCCCGATTAGCTGTTAGCGGCGATCGCGTTTAAACTTTGCACAGTAAGTAATTTTATTCTAATAATAAAAATAAAACAAATGAGAATAGAAAAAATGTTTCTTTGGGAAAATTGATTTTTATCAATCACGTGTTTAATTAAAGGTCAGTAATTACCAGTCACCGTATATAATACAATTTTACAAGGAACTTATTAATTGAATAATAATGCATCATAGCATTACAGAGCTGGACTTAATGCCATTAGGTTCACACCAGCCAACTTTGGGAGATGTAGACAAATATGAACTTCTAAGAACCTGAAAATATGTGTGACCTTTAGGGTACTTATATCCATAAGTACTAAAATGAAGTTTTGAAAACTCACCATTGACTATCACTTGAGCTAATATTTATATGCAAAGTTTGTTCAATTATTATTGATATGTTAGCTGGCTGCTGTTTAGCAAACTTAACTTTTTGGGACTTTACATAAAGGGGGCTCGAAAGATGACCATGCTCTCTCTACAGCATCAGAAGAATCGTATTTTTTATATTTTTTAAGAATCGTATTTTTTATTCTGTTACAGATCTCTGAAATAAGGCAGAAACTAATGGAGCTTCATTCAACAACCAATTCCAAAACTGCTGAAGTGGAATAAAATCTTCAAATTTACAATAATTATATAATAATACGATTATTTTTTAAACTTTGTTTTTAATACGAAGTAATATTGCTAGGAATTTGTCGGCGTTTTCGAAAATAAAAACACAATTATATTTTTTAAACTTTTTATTACCGATTTATCGTCATTATCGCCAGCTTCATTATAAAACGAATAAATAACACAATATCTGTTATAAACGCTAAATAAACATGGTTACATACAATTTAAGCTGGTCAAAAGTACTTAGCCATTACACATAAAGTTGATAGTTGTATGGCAGCTTTGTCCAGATAGTATTAAAATAGTATTAGATGGACAAAGCTGGCAAACAACACTGCCCACAATGCGGACCCAGGAATAACTAAATATAAAGGAACATTACAATTTCTATTATTTTAATATTAGACATATAAAAACTTCTTAATTAGTGACTACAAAAATTCCAAAAATCTACTTTTTTCATTTATTACAAGATGCCGAATTACAAATTACAAAAAGTCTCCAACATCACAAAAATCGGTTTTTATTTTATTAATACTTAATACTGAAGCACTGAAAGTAATTGACGATACAAAACCTTTAAAAATATCAAATCATTCATCTTACAACTAAAGATACAGAAAGCAAAATTAAATGCAAAATTGTGCAATAAAATACTATAGGACAATAACATTCTGCTTAAATCATATAATTAATAATCATATTATACGTATCGCAATAATAACTATTTCTATAATCCGAACTAATTGTGATTTAAAAAATAAACTAAAAGAGTGAGATTGTCATAAAAATGAATATTCAAAGATCAAAAAAAAAAATCAATGAATCTACATTGTTAAAATAACTTCCCGCCATTACACAACAGATAAACTATTGACCACAGATACCTACAGAATGTCACAGAGTCTACAACAATAAAAAAATACACATACTTAGCATTGATCAAAACGTTTTTGCATAACATTGACTTTTGTTTATTCTACATTTAATATTTTGGCAAATTAATTAGATTTTATCACATTTCGATTCTGATTTACTTTAACATTTTATTACACGCATCGGGCGTGTAATAATAGAATGTTTGTTTTTATGAAATGATTATTCCTTCAAGATACAATTTCTTGTTTTATGGTCTACTGCAGAAACATGCAGACGGATCGTCTAGTCAAGTCATCAACGCTACCTATGGACGCGTCAAAACAATAAGAGCTAAAACTGTGTTGCAGGTTTTTTAGAGGGGGTGAGATTTACCTGCATTTAGCCTAGAATAATTTAATATCCAAATAAAAGTCTACAATCTTTAAGAAACACCATTCACACAACCAAGAGCAAACTTAAGCAAAAGATTGTACGGTCAGCTGCAGAGAAATGGACCCCCCCTGAAGTACAAATATGTATGCAGCTATCTGCATAGGGCATCCTTTTCTCTGCAGCTGAGTGTACCTACTCATTAAGATACTTGCAACGCAATTATTGTGACTCTTTGGTGTTGTGAATGTACATGGGCGATGGTGATACCTTACTGTCAGGTGATCCGTCTGCTCGTTTGCGTCTCATTTCCATAAAAAATAAGATAGTTACAATGTTTAGCAAAATTATCTTAATTTTAATCTAGGCCAATACATCTTAACGTTTACATTTGAATCCATCTTGACATAAAAACCTAATTTGTCGCCGATCTTAATCCAAAATATTTTGTTTGATGTCTATTTTTGTCATTGATTGTGTTTACATCAAATACCTAGAATTTTGGATTGAGATCTTACTTATCGTGAGCCTTTCAGGCAACGTACAGCATTAAAACGACTTGAAATAAATACATACGAAATGCGAATTCTATAATTTATCAATTCAAGGAATTAAAACAATAATTTCTGATAGAGTTCTATGAGAAATTATTGTTTAATTTCGGAACCGAAACCGAAATTATTACATTAGCTGCCGAATTTTAACATTTATGGGGAGGCGCATTTTTGATTTGCACAGGAAAAGATCAGAAAAAGCGCCTTTGAAACGAGAAAGAAAAATAATTGAGAATGTCAGTGAAAACGAGCATAAAAGCGTAGACAAGCTGCGCAAATTCAGAATGACTACAAGCCTCTATAATCCATGAAAAGATATCAAAATGAGTTCAGCAGTTTCTGAGATTACTACTATCTAAACGATTCATATCACAAGACACACCGATACCTTTCACAGTCACTTACTCAGTCTTTACCAAAACTTGACTAGGATTTCTCCAAATCCACATACAAAAACAATATACATATATACAGGTGATATTTAATTAGATTTCAATTTCTATTAAAGTTAGGCTTACGCAATCGGCGCCGTCCATGGACACCAGTAACACCAAAGGAGTTACAAGTTACGTGGCCAGTCTTTTGGGGATATGGCTTTAGGAAATATAGAGATTGGGGATTAGAAGATACGCCTCACAGAAATTCTATCCTAATTCCTAAAAGGTCGGCAACGCACTCGTAACTCCTCCGTTGCGGGTGTCCATGGGCGGCGCTGGTTGCTTACCATCAGGTAATACGACTGCTCGTTTGCCGACCTATTACATAAAAAAATGTGATCCATTCTATTTTTTTCTATCTTAGATAACAACCGACTTACCAATTTAATATCACCTTATATATTTTAACCTTCGAAACGCTACCGTCATATTTATGTGACAAACGTAAATGTCACAATGACAGGACAAAATTTACGCCACAGCATTTAATTAAATAAATCAGGGCTATAAGCTTAGGCGTTTAAAAGTTTTTAAATACATTTTGCATGTGCATTCATTTAACCTTTCAATGTACCCCCGCGTGTAATTTCAATTAAAATTATCTTCTAAAATGTATATAAAAAAAAACTGCTTTGAATTCTACTATGGTCTATCGATTAAGGGAATTAACTAAATGTTAACAATCTTGCCATCTAAATATTGTATGTAAAAATCATTACAATCAGGTATTTACCTAAATCGATGTTAGCTAATAAATGATATTTAAATAATCTTTGTATAGTGTATTTTATACAACCTTATTGATATAAAAAGACATACCAAGATGGTTGACCTTTAGTTAACCACCAAAATCGATAGATTTTTAATTACTATTTCCACACATACCTACTTATAACTGTTCATACAAATTCATAATTAATAGATCGCCCGACATATCAGTTTATTACGAAGAGGTCCTCTTACACCGAATTGTCACAATTATTTTTAATTTTTCCGACTTTATTACAAAACTATAAATTTAAAATTCTATCAAATTATAATTATTACAGATTGGAATCCATATCTAATCGGATTTAGCAAATATTATATAAATATTACATGTCAAAAATGGTTTCTACAATATTTTTGCTAATAAAAAATATTACATCATTATTTACCAATAAATTCAATTATTTTCTGAAAGAAATCTACATTCTTAACCATTTAGTATGACCAACTTATGTATGCGTGTGACAAAAAATGGAACTATTAGGGATCAATATAAAACAGCAGTATAACTTTTATTTATAAATAAAGTAACGCTATTATCCGGTGCACAGATAAGTTGGTTTTATTTTACATTACTAACTAAATTTTTTTATAACAATAGAAGTTAGAAATATTTTGAATTGGCAACCTTTTACTAAACCTAGTGCAACCTTATTACCCGTCTTCAAAGGGCGAATCATTCTATCCTTTATCAATTTAAAAGCATTTTAGTCTGTTTCTTTATAGTAAACAAATCAACGGTTTTGCCATAATAATTAATTTAATGACAAAAATATTTTAGAAATAATTGTAATTCTAAAATATTTTATATAGCTTGCACTGCTTGCAGGGAAAAGATAGCTTATAGACAGGCGAGCTTCATTGTCGGCCGCGTAATGATTTACCGCCAGGCAAGATAATGGTCTAACGCCGATCATAGTAAAATAAAAGACACTGTCAGCCTCTCTGTTTAAGACAAACAAATTGTGCTAGAGATAACCTATGGAGTTTCTTGATTGTTTTCCATTCGAATCTATATTTTGGGACGAGCACCTAACTTCACTGACGAACAGACTGACAGACTACTATTTCATTTTGACGATTCAAAATTTTGACATTGACAAGAAGTAACAATATTTTTTATATCAATTTGTTACCTAACGAAACTAACTTAAATAACTTCACAAATCATATTCAAATAATTATTTTTCACCCTTTTATGAGAATCCAATCATTGCTACTTAAAAAAGTCGTCTTAAGTTTTGCCAGGGTAATATATTAATAAGTGGTTGTTGAACTTTCGGTTTCGAAGGTTTTAAAGAAGTTTTAAAGAGCAAAATTAATCCGTCCAGTATCGAATACCAGAAGTTTTTAAGATTACACACATATTTGACGAAAGAAAAGATTACAATGACGAGGATCTTGAGCGATAGTGGCGCCACTTGAAGTTTCTATAAACATTCAACAAAAACTATTTTACCTAAAATTTATGTGTTAAAATCTATCCATTGATTTATCTTTTTTAGAGTCGTGGGTGCTTTTATAAACATACAATTTCTCGCATCACACACGGAATAACAATTTGTGATGAATGAACCGTCTATCTTTACGCTTAGTGTCTTTAGAAAATGCTTCGATGCTTGTCAAATCTTATGTTGTGCATTGAAATCGACTTATCTGATTTCCCGATTCGATAAATACATATTTAAGCCATGTACATAGCTAAGGGGTAGCTCATACAAGCACATATTTTCAGTAGGCAACCCATAGACAGATAGACAAAGAAATCAAATAGATACGACTTTTAAAAATATAGTGCATTTGATTTTTCATGTGATCTTAAGAGAATAAGTTTTACAATTATTGTTTTTCTTATGAGGAAAATAATGTTAAAGTAAAAAAGGCAATTAATACCGGTAATGTAATGGTGGATAGTGTGTGTAGGGTAGGTAGGTATGGTGCCTCCGTCGGCGGTGTCGGCGGGGCGGGCGCTAGAAGGCGCGCGCCAGGTACAGGCGGCCCGCCGTACCGCGGTGCAGCTCCACGAAGCCCAGCTTGCTGTAGAACTGGTGTAGGTAGTGGTCGGTCGCGTTAATACACGCGTGAACGCCGCTAGCCCCTGTGGACGAACAAATCGTAATATGTTATTGATTCTTTCGGTTATATGGTGGACTCTCTTTTGTATTGACAATACGTTTGTTTACGATACGCCTTTTCTACGCCTAAACGGGCATTCTTGTATGAGTAACCTTGCAACTCCACAGGCAAAACAAATGCGTTTCCCTCTATGTATGGAGTTGGTTCATGCTGTATTTCGTCTTGTTGGTGATGGATATGTGAGTGTACATGTAGTGTAGTGTATAGTTAGTAGGCAGTACAGTCGCGGGCGCCAGTGCAGTGGTGTACATGTAGTTAGTGTATAGTTACCGTGCGCCCGCAGCGCGGCAGTACACAGGTGCGCAGGCGCGCGGGCGCCAGCGGGTCGCGGCAGTGGCCACTTATAGAGTGTACATGTAGTGTAGTGTATAGTTACCGTGCGCCCGCAGCGCGGCCAGTACACAGGTGAGCAGGCGCGCGGGCGCCAGCGGGTCGCGGCAGTGGCCACTTATAGAGTGTACATGTAGTGTAGTGTATAGTTACCGTGCGCCCGCAGCGCGGCCAGTACACAGGTGAGCAGGCGCGCGGGCGCCAGCGGGTCGCGGCAGTGGCCACTTATAGAGTGTACATGTAGTGTAGTGTATAGTTACCGTGCGCCCGCAGCGCGGCCAGTACAACAGGTGAGCAGGCGCGCGGGCGCCAGCGGGTCGCGGCAGTGGCCACTTATAGAGTGTACATGTAGTGTAGTGTATAGTTACCGTGCGCCGCAGCGCGGCCAGTACACAGGTGAGCAGGCGCGCGGGCGCCAGCGGGTCGCGGCAGTGGCCACTTATAGAGTGTACATGTAGTGTAGTGTATAGTTACCGTGCGCCCGCAGCGCGGCCAGTACACAGGTGAGCAGGCGCGCGGGCGCCAGCGGGTCGCGGCAGTGGCCACTTATAGAGTGTACATGTAGTGTAGTGTATAGTTACCGTGCGCCCGCAGCGCGGCCAGTACACAGTGAGCAGGCGCGCGGGCGCCAGCGGGTCGCGGCAGTGGCCACTTATAGAGTGTACATGTAGTGTAGTGTATAGTTACCGTGCGCCCGCAGCGCGGCCAGTACACAGGTGAGCAGGCGCGCGGGCGCCAGCGGGTCGCGGCAGTGGCCACTTATAGAGTGTACATGTAGTGTAGTGTATAGTTACCGTGCGCCCGCAGCGCGGCCAGTACACAGGTGAGCAGGCGCGCGGGCGCCAGCGGGTCGCGGCAGTGGCCACTTATAGAGTGTACATGTAGTGTAGTGTATAGTTACCGTGCGCCCGCAGCGCGGCCAGTACACAGGTGAGCAGGCGCGCGGGGCGCCAGCGGGTCGCGGCAGTGGCCACTTATAGAGTGTACATGTAGTGTAGTGTATAGTTACCGTGCGCCCGCAGCGCGGCCAGTACACAGGTGAGCAGGGCAGCGGGTCGCGGCAGTGGCCACTTATAGAGTGTACATGTAGTGTAGTGTATAGTTACCGTGCGCCCGCAGCGCGGCCAGTACAGTACACAGGTGAGCAGGCGCGCGGGCGCCAGCGGGGTCGCGGCAGTGGCCACTTATAGAGTGTACATGTAGTGTAGTGTATAGTTACCGTGCGCCCGCAGCGCGGCCAGTACACAGGTGAGCAGGCGCGCGGGCGCCAGCGGGTCGCGGCAGTGGCCACTTATAGAGTTGTACATGTAGTGTAGTGTATAGTTACCGTGCGGCCCGCAGCGCGGCCAGTACACAGGTGAGCAGCGCGCGGGCGCCAGCGGGTCGCGGCAGTGGCCACTTATAGAGTGTACATGTAGTGTAGTGTATAGTTACCGTGCGCCCGCAGCGCGGCCAGTACACAGGTGAGCAGGCAGCGGGTCGCGGCAGTGGCCACTTATAGAGTGTACATGTAGTGTAGTGTATAGTTACCGTGCGCCCGCAGCGCGGCCAGTACACAGGTGAGCAGGCGCGCGGGCGCCAGCGGGTCGCGGCAGTGGCCACTTATAGAGTGTACATGTAGTGTAGTGTATAGTTACCGTGCGCCCGCAGCGCGGCCAGTACACAGGTGAGCAGGCGCGCGGGCGCCAGCGGGTCGCGGCAGTGGCCACTTATAGAGTGTACATGTAGTGTAGTGTATAGTTACCGTGCGCCCGCAGCGCGGCCAGTACACAGGTGAGCAGGCGCGCGGGCGCCAGCGGGTCGCGGCAGTGGCCACTTATAGAGTGTACATGTAGTGTAGTGTATAGTTACCGTGCGCCCGCAGCGCGGCCAGTACACAGGTGAGCAGGCGCGCGGGCGCCAGCGGGTCGCGGCAGTGGCCACTTATAGAGTGTACATGTAGTGTAGTGTATAGTTACCGTGCGCCCGCAGCGCGGCCAGTACACAGGTGAGCAGGCGCGCGGGCGCCAGCGGGTCGCGGCAGTGGCCACTTATAGAGTGTACATGTAGTGTAGTGTATAGTTACCGTGCGCCCGCAGCGCGGCCAGTACACAGGTGAGCAGGCGCGCGGGCGCCAGCGGGGTCGCGGCAGTGGCCACTTATAGAGTGTACATGTAGTGTAGTGTATAGTTACCGTGCGCCCGCAGCGCGGCCAGTACACAGGTGAGCAGGCGCGCGGGCGCCAGCGGGTCGCGGCAGTGGCCACTTATAGAGTGTACATGTAGTGTAGTGTATAGTTACCGTGGCGCCCGCAGCGCGGCCAGTACACAGGTGAGCAGGCGCGCGGGCGCCAGCGGGTCGCGGCAGTGGCCACTTATAGAGTGTACATGTAGTGTAGTGTATAGTTACCGTGCGCCCGCAGCGCGGCCAGTACACAGGTGAGCAGGCGCGCGGGCGCCAGCGGGTCGCGGCAGTGGCCACTTATAGAGTGTACATGTAGTGTAGTGTATAGTTACCGTGCGCCCGCAGCGCGGCCAGTACACAGGTGAGCAGGCGCGCGGGCGCCAGCGGGTCGCGGCAGTGGCCACTTATAGAGTGTACATGTAGTGTAGTGTATAGTTACCGTGCGCCCGCAGCGCGGCCAGTACACAGGTGAGCAGGCAGCGGGTCGCGGCAGTGGCCACTTATAGAGTGTACATGTAGTGTAGTGTATAGTTACCGTGCGCCGCAGCGCGGCCAAGTACACAGGTGAGCAGGCGCGCGGGCGCCAGCGGGTCGCGGCAGTGGCCACTTATAGAGTGTACATGTAGTGTAGTGTATAGTTACCGTGCGCCCGCAGCGCGGCCAGTACACAGGTGAGGCAGGCGCGCGGGCGCCAGCGGGTCGCGGCAGTGGCCACTTATAGAGTGTACATGTAGTGTAGTGTATAGTTACCGTGCGCCCGCAGCGCGGCCAGTACACAGGTGAGCAGGCGCGCGGGCGCCAGCGGGTCGCGGCAGTGGCCACTTATAGAGTGTACATGTAGTGTAGTGTATAGTTACCGTGCGCCCGCAGCGCGGCCAGTACACAGGTGAGCAGGCAGCGGGTCGCGGCAGTGGCCACTTATAGAGTGTACATGTAGTGTAGTGTATAGTTACCGTGCGCCCGCAGCGCGGCCAGTACACAGGTGAGCAGGCGCGCGGGCGCCAGCGGGTCGCGGCAGTGGCCACTTATAGAGTGTACATGTAGTGTAGTGTATAGTTACCGTGCGCCCGCAGCGCGGCAAGTACACAGGTGAGCAGGCGCGCGGGCGCCAGCGGGTCGCGGCAGTGGCCACTTATAGAGTGTACATGTAGTGTAGTGTATAGTTACCGTGCGCCCGCAGCGCGGCCAGTACACAGGTGAGCAGGCAGCGGGTCGCGGCAGTGGCCACTTATAGAGTGTACATGTAGTGTAGTGTATAGTTACCGTGCGCCCGCAGCGCGGCCAGTACACAGGTGAGCAGGCAGCGGGTCGCGGCAGTGGCCACTTATAGAGTGTACATGTAGTGTAGTGTATAGTTACCGTGCGCCCGCAGCGCGGCCAGTACACAGGTGAGCAGGCGCGCGGGCGCCAGCGGGTCGCGGCAGTGGCCACTTATAGAGTGTACATGTAGTGTAGTGTATAGTTACCGTGCGCCCGCAGCGCGGCCAGTACACAGGTGAGCAGGCGCGCGGGCGCCAGCGGGTCGCGGCAGTGGCCACTTATAGAGTGTACATGTAGTGTAGTGTATAGTTACCGTGCGCCCGCAGCGCGGCCAGTACACAGGTGAGCAGGCGGCGGGCGCCAGCGGGTCGCGGCAGTGGCCACTTATAGAGTGTACATGTAGTGTAGTGTATAGTTACCGTGCGCCCGCAGCGCGGCCAGTACACAGGTGAGCAGGCGCGCGGGCGCCAGCGGGTCGCGGCAGTGGCCACTTATAGAGTGTACATGTAGTGTAGTGTATAGTTACCGTGCGCCCGCAGCGCGGCCAGTACACAGGTGAGCAGGCGCGCGGGCGCCAGCGGGTCGCGGCAGTGGCCACTTATAGAGTGTACATGTAGTGTAGTGTATAGTTACCGTGCGCCGCAGCGCGGCCAGTACACAGGTGAGCAGGCAGCGGGTCGCGGCAGTGGCCACTTATAGAGTGTACATGTAGTGTAGTGTATAGTTACCGTGCGCCCGCAGCGCGGCCAGTACACAGGTGAGCAGGCGCGCGGGCGCAGCGGGTCGCGGCAGTGGCCACTTATAGAGTGTACATGTAGTGTAGTGTATAGTTACCGTGCGCCCGCAGCGCGGCCAGTACACAGGTGAGCAGGCGCGCGGGCGCCAGCGGGTCGCGGCAGTGGCCACTTATAGAGTGTACATGTAGTGTAGTGTATAGTTACCGTGCGCCCGCAGCGCGGCCAGTACACAGGTGAGCAGGCGCGCGGGCGCCAGCGGGTCGCGGCAGTGGCCACTTATAGAGTGTACATGTAGTGTAGTGTATAGTTACCGTGCGCCCGCAGCGCGGCCAGTACACAGGTGAGCAGGGCAGCGGGTCGCGGCAGTGGCCACTATAGAGTGTACATGTAGTGTAGTGTATAGTTACCGTGCGCCCGCAGCGCGGCCAGTACACAGGTGAGCAGGCGCGCGGGCGCCAGCGGGTCGCGGCAGTGGCCACTTATAGAGTGTACATGTAGTGTAGTGTATAGTTACCGTGCGCCCGCAGCGCGGCCAGTACACAGGTGAGCAGGCGCGCGGGCGCCAGCGGGTCGCGGCAGTGGCCACTTATAGAGTGTACATGTAGTGTAGTGTATAGTTTACCGTGCGCCCGCAGCGCGGCCAGTACACAGGTGAGCAGGCGCGCGGGCGCCAGCGGGTCGCGGCAGTGGCCACTTATAGAGTGTACATGTAGTGTAGTGTATAGTTACCGTGCGCCCGCAGCGCGGCCAGTACACAGGTGAGCAGGCGCGCGGGCGCCAGCGGGGTCGCGGCAGTGGCCACTTATAGAGTGTACATGTAGTGTAGTGTATAGTTACCGTGCGCCCGCAGCGCGGCCAGTACACAGGTGAGCAGGCGCGCGGGGCGCCAGCGGGTCGCGGCAGTGGCCACTTATAGAGTGTACATGTAGTGTAGTGTATAGTTACCGTGCGCCCGCAGCGCGGCCAGTACACAGGTGAGCAGGCGCGCGCGGGCGCCAGCGGGTCGCGGCAGTGGCCACTTATAGAGTGTACATGTAGTGTAGTGTATAGTTACCGTGCGCCCGCAGCGCGGCCAGTACACAGGTGAGCAGGGCGCGGGCGCCAGCGGGTCGCGGCAGTGGCCACTTATAGAGTGTACATGTAGTGTAGTGTATAGTTACCGTGCGCCCGCAGCGCGGCCAGTACACAGGTGAGCAGGCGCGCGGGCGCCAGCGGGTCGCGGCAGTGGCCACTTATAGAGTGTACATGTAGTGTAGTGTATAGTTACCGTGCGCCCGCAGCGCGGCCAGTACACAGGTGAGCAGGCGCGCGGGCGCCAGCGGGTCGCGGCAGTGGCCACTTATAGAGTGTACATGTAGTGTAGTGTATAGTTACCGTGCGCCCGCAGCGCGGCCAGTACACAGGTGAGCAGGCGCGCGGGCGCCAGCGGGTCGCGGCAGTGGCCACTTATAGAGTGTACATGTAGTGTAGTGTATAGTTACCGTGCGCCCGCAGCGCGGCCAGTACACAGGTGAGCAGGCGCGCGGGCGCCAGCGGGTCGCGGCAGTGGCCACTTATAGAGTGTACATGTAGTGTAGTGTATAGTTACCGTGCGCCCGCAGCGCGGCCAGTACACAGGTGAGCAGGCGCGCGGGCGCCAGCGGGTCGCGGCAGTGGCCACTTATAGAGTGTACATGTAGTGTAGTGTATAGTTACCGTGCGCCCGCAGCGCGGCCAGTACACAGGTGAGCAGGCGCGCGGGCGCCAGCGGGTCGCGGCAGTGGCCACTTATAGAGTGTACATGTAGTGTAGTGTATAGTTACCGTGCGCCCGCAGCGCGGCCAGTACACAGGTGAGCAGGCGCGCGGGCGCCAGCGGGGTCGCGGCAGTGGCCACTTATAGAGTGTACATGTAGTGTAGTGTATAGTTACCGTGCGCCCGCAGCGCGGCCAGTACACAGGTGAGCAGGCAGCGGGTCGCGGCAGTGGCCACTTATAGAGTGTACATGTAGTGTAGTGTATAGTTACCGTGCGCCCGCAGCGCGGCCAGTACACAGGTGAGCAGGCGCGCGGGCGCCAGCGGGTCGCGGCAGTGGCCACTTATAGAGTGTACATGTAGTGTAGTGTATAGTTACCGTGCGCCCGCAGCGCGGCCAGTACACAGGTGAGCAGGCGCGCGGGCGCCAGCGGGTCGCGGCAGTGGCCACTTATAGAGTGTACATGTAGTGTAGTGTATAGTTACCGTGCGCCCGCAGCGCGGCCAGTACACAGGTGAGCAGGCGCGCGGGCGCCAGCGGGTCGCGGCAGTGGCCACTTATAGAGTGTACATGTAGTGTAGTGTATAGTTACCGTGCGCCCGCAGCGCGGCCAGTACACAGGTGAGCAGGCGCGCGGGCGCCAGCGGGTCGCGGCAGGCGCGCAGCACGCAGCACGTCAGCAGCGCGGGGTGCGCGCGCGACACACTGTCGGGCGCGACGCACGCCGACCCGAACTGGTGGAAATGGCGGACGCACTCCTACACGAAACAAAACAAATTAAAATGTTTCATATGCAGAAAAAAACGACAAAAATAATCTTAAAATCCTTCGAAAAAAAAAAACTGTTAATCAGAGCTGAAATGGCTGAGGCGTTCAGACAAAACGTTTGATTGTGTTGATCATAAGACACTTGCCGAAATAAGACCATTAATGAAATAAGACACACTACACTCCTTCTGATAAAATTTTACAAAAGGATTAGCAACTAAAGGTTCATGTAAGCAGTTCCAACTCACAGGGCTCTGAGATGAGAATGGGTGTTCCACAGGGTTCGATATTGGGTCCGTTTCTCATTTAAATTGACACTGACGACTTGCAAATTCTATTACAAACTGAACCAAAAATGCTGTTTGCAGATGATATGTATATCATTTTATTCTTTACATTTAATAACTAGCCACTTATTGAAAAAAAAACAAAATGTATTGAATTTATCTTGCCAACGTACATAGTAATGATTGTAACAATTTTAAACGGACAAAAGTTGGATTTTTTAATGAGACGATGTAGGGTTTTTAATGAAACGTATTAGGAGAGATTAAGCTAAGCTGTTTTTGCAGTTAACACATTCAGTGCCCCCGACGCGTATTTGCGTTTCCTCGCACGCACATACGTGTCGGGGGCACTGAATGTGTTAAACAGATTCGACAGCTCGCAAACGTTACTACAGTAAGTCAAGTCTTTTTTACCCGACTTCCAAAAAGGAGGATGGTTCTCAATTCGACCGTATATATGCTTTTTTATGTTTGTTCGCCGATATCTCCGTTATTTATGAACCGATTTTGATAATTCTTTTTTTATTGGAAATGAGATAGTCCCAGAATGGTCCCATGATAAGGAAATCAGGATCTGATGATGGAAGACCAGAGAAATTGAAGGGAACTTTCAAAAATTGTAGGGGCGAGTGGTGCTTTTGCCTTTGGTTATAGTAGGCTTTTGACAACGCTACAACTTGGCGATGTTCGAACTCGACCTGATGATGGAGCCGGAAGACAGTAGAGGGATCTCCTTGACTATTTGGAGTAGTTGCCTTGTGTTTGGGCTTGGATGATTTGTATTGGTGAGCACTTTGCACCAAGATTGGTCGTGGCTGTCATTACTGGTCTGATGATCAGAACAATGAACAGCTCAGGGAACTCCTGAACGGTTTACAGTAACTGCCTCGTGTTTGGACTCTATTCATTTATATCGATGAAAACTTTGCACCTTTATGGATTACAATGAAGTTATGCAGTAAATTGTGATGATGGAGTCGGAGGACCGTCGTGGGATCTCCTTGACTATTTGGAGTAGTTGCCTTGTGTTTGGGCTTGAATGATTCGTATTGGTGAGCACTTTGCACCAAGATTGGTCTTGACTGTCATTAAGGGTCTGATGATGAGAACGATGGACAGTTCAGGGAACTCCTGAACGGTTTACAGTAATTGCCCCGTGTTTTATTGTATTTATATCCTGAAAATGCTAGCAATACATAACTTGCCTCATCGCGAATGTCTGAGAGAACTATTAAAACAATTAATATCCAAATCTAAGTTATAGATAGCTCCGACGACAAGCTTTTGTAAGATATAGAAAGACTTAATGTCAGGTGCCTTTTTTGAGAAGGGAAAACTATCAAATAACTTCTCCCGCCGAGGTGGAAGGGAGTGGCAGACTCTTACTTTGTAACCCCGATTCTTGTCCTGCTATAGGCAGAGGACGCGGCGCCTTATTGCACTTGTCCAGCAACCCCGGTTGAACGTCAATCTTATAGGGCTTTTTGAGGCGCTCGCGGATCTCTACGCGTCGTACGCTGTACAGTTGGTTAGTTTTCGTATTATTTATTTTAGAACTCAATCGTCCTTCTAGAGATTTGATGTGGGGCCTTCATGCCAGCTTGTCGTCTCCAGTAATTCCCAGGAAAGTAGTCTCCTTTACATATTCCAGTTTCTGATCATTTAATAATAGGTCATCACAATTGTTACTTTAAACATTTGGCAAAATAAATCTAATGCATTCTGTCTAAGTTGTCTATTGTAAAGTAATTTTGAACCTCCATTAAAGCATTATTTATTTTCTTTGTTCTTTCCTTTCACGGGACCACAGGGTCCCGGACCTTTGGAAGGCGCACGAGGAGCTGAAGCTAACTCGCAGAGGCCCGTTGAACAATTTTAATCTTAATGTGATGGGACATCAGCCTTCAATTATCCCCGTATGCACTATAAAAGTGCACCCAAGGACAATTACCGGTTGATGCAAGACTATTGTGAAATGTGGTAAAAAATGATATGGTTATGGGTATGGGTTGCTATGCACTAGTGGATGAAAACTATGGAAATATATGGCCCCTGCCCCTGACCAATATTGATACATACGGATAAACAAGCAGGGGGTGACTGGCAAACTTAATTAATGGCCCCCCGGAAACGGCCGCTAGCATGTAGCGACACGGGGGCAACATACGTACGTTGAGCTGCTTGGGGAAGGAGAGGCATCCCACGGCTATCAGAGCAATCCCGGAAGTGCGGTCAAGACCCCTACCAGCACCTTACTGAGATACATTCTTCCCCCGAGTCTCCTACAACTCGTACTCTTGCGAATCTCCACTCAAGCCAGCCAATTAAGGCAAGAATGAGGTAGGAGGGCTTGTTCTTCATCAGTTCAGTGAGAACTAACCGGAGAGAGAAGAACAAGACACCTCCCGGGAGTCAGGTCCGTGGGGTGTCGCCACTGCCCAACAGCTCGCCACAAGCTGCCTTGCGGATTCATTGTTTATTTATTTGTTATCAACTAAGCTATCCTTACAGATACCTAATATGATAGCTGAGTGAGACTCAAGCACAATAATTATTAACTTTGTCATAATTATTAATTAGTCTATTTTTTTTTTTATCAGTGATATCTTATCAGCGAACCCTTCGGAACCGAAGAGAAGAGACGAAAGAACGAGAGAAAGGAAACCTTCTCCGTGTGATAAGAGATCTTTTCACTCGACAGTGGGCACTTATAGGCTGATGATGATGATTATGATCTCATTAGCAAATGGTTTCATATGCAGTTCGTTTTGGAACAAATGGGGCAGGTCATTCACATATACCAAAGACAGAAATGGTCCTTATAATGAGCCTTGCGGTACACACATAGATATGCTACAACCCCGCGACTTTACTTTGTTTACTTGTACTTTAAGTTTTCTTTTCTGAAGGCATGACTTTAATAAAACTAGAGATACTCCCCAAACGCCGTGATTTTCTGGTTTCAGTAATAGTGTTGTCTCGTGCTTAACGCATTCAAAAGCCTTCGAATAATCACGAAATATTCCAATGGCATTTTGTGATTTTTCCCACGAGTCAAAAATATGTTTTATAAGCGATGCTCCCGCGTACTAAATGCAACGTCCGGGTTATGAAATATGGATCTTGTGGTAAAGTGATGCAGCATTTGAGTAAGCATCAACCTTTCGAACACTTTACTGAGCACTGGCAAAATAGAGACCGACCTATAGTTAGGTTCTGTACTATCACCTGATTTAAAACAATGGTACCAATGGAAAAACTATTAACAGCATTGTATCCGAGCGAAACCGGGCTGGGTCGTCGTAAATAAAAAATAAATACCTAAAATAATTGTCCCACATACCTTGGCTGCCTGACTGAGGTCCTGTCTCTCGGTGAGTTGTTCCGGGTACTTGTTACACATCTCGGGTATCCAGGCGATCTCCTGTCGCTTGTAGAACTCTTTGCTGTTCAGTACTGCGCACGCGTACCCCACTATCTCGGGTTTGACGCCTGTTTAATTTTTTTATGAGGAGTTTTACTTGGTGTTGCTTTGAATGAGGTGAAAGAAAAGGTTTGGATGTGAAAGGGCAATAAAATTAATCAAACATAAAAATCATTTTTATACGTTTTTTTTATGGTATATGTGGGCCAAAGATCGTAGCATTACCTGATGTTAAGCAATCAACGCCGCCCATGGATAGCAACAATAAAGGAGTTACGAGTGCGTTTAGGGATAAAGATTCCGGATATTTAAGGATTGGGATGGGGGGAGGGGGAGAGACTGGGCTTCTGTTAACCTCGCTCACACAGCGAAACACGACGCTGTGATTGATTCACGCCGGTTTTCTGTGAGGCCGTCGTTTAAAGTTTTGATTACTTTTCTAGTTTCTGCTCTTTTCTCGTATTCAGAATAGTAGTTTCAACTTTTCCAATAACTAAACTATCAATAATAGATCTAGAACTTCTTGGCAAATATACCTAATATAACAAAGTGACTTCTTTTTTCTGCAATACATTACAATGAACCACGTCACAAAATCATCGTCATCTTTACTATATGTAAAACATGGCTACCTAAAACTTTAAAGAGTCCAATAACATACCGTTAAGTCTTGATTCAGAGGTTCGTTTGTCGTCATCGTCTCCGGAGGGATCTACCTCCTGCGGCACGCACTCCTCATCGTCCTCTATCACCATGCACAACTCTGGGTACAGCGTCAGGAATGGTGCTACTAGCCTATGGAACAATAGTACATTATGGTCAGTGATCGGAGTAGGTAGATTGAAATGGGGTCATTGATCCGAAACGTATATATTAATATGGACATTCCTCCGGAATTGGTAGATTATTAAAAAAAACCGGAACTTGTGTAGGAATTTTATTCTGCCAGAATGGAAGGAGTCATTTGATGATTTGCCATCCTCAAAAAAGGTAGGAATTGTAATAAAATGGGCAATTTTATTCTTTTTTTCTTCATTTTTTTTTTTATGGCCACTATGTTTTTCTTATGTCTATCTATAAAAGTTCTAGCCATAAAAGGCTAAAAATAAAAAAAATATAAATTAAAGCTTCGATCACAATTCGATTGTTTTTATTATTTAACAGATAAATAATGAATTAATTTAGTTTTGATACCTTCCTTTAAATTTTGAATTGGGTAGGAATAATATCACATTAATTTTCCGGGAAATGGCTTATCCATGTTATTCTTTCTGTGTGCATTTATGATACAAGTACCAAAAATCAATCTACCTACTCCGATCATTGATTATGGTACAAGTATGTAAAGTTGGTGATTACCGCACAGGCGAGGGTCTTAAGGAGCCGGGGACGACTCACTAGTGAATAATAGTAAAAAAAAGTAACAGTTAGATTATAGGTGTCATAACTTGCCTAATTGCCGTGGGATAAGAGCCACTTTATGAGGAAGGTTGTTGAAAATATATTATTACAGAGCTTTTGCAATCAGCTATTCCCACTAAGTCGAATCCGAAGGGAATTATCAATACTACCCAAAGTCAAAACCAAAGTAAAAAAAAGTTTATTTCAAGTAAACTATATACAGGTTACTTTTGAAACGTCAAAATAGAAAAATAGTTTGTCTGTAAGTCTCGAACAGTGCCAGCTAGACTAATTCAATTTATTTTTCCATCTAAAAAATGGTTGATTTCCTAAGACGGAGCGTTGAAAATTTAAACAAAGCTTTAGTTTTTTTATGCATACATATTTTGTTGAAAAAGAAAACTTGAGTTGTCAAGATATTTAGTATGTATGACGATAATAATTGATGAGCTTCTTTATTCACCAGATAAAGTGTGTACAACAGATTATATAGATAAACATACCTATCGGCCGGCAACGTTTGCAGGTCGCTGGGGAAAAGGTCGCTGCAGTCAGACCCGTCGCGACATGTCTTGTGGCATATCGCGCATACCTACAACACAAAAATATAGATGCAAAAGTCGTAAACAGGAATAAAAGTCGTCTATTTTGTAGGGTATCAAGGGCTGATTTTTCATTAATCAGATAAATGTTATTTGAGGAATAAAATTATTGCTGTCACTGTCTTATACAAACATTTTGGCGCGACAGCATCATAATTATTCCCCAGATAACATTTATGTAACAATTGAAAAATCAGCAGAAAGAAAAAGATCTTAGTAACACGTCAAAATATACCTGAAAATGCTACCGATTAGTTTGAAGAGGAACGGATCTATTTTGGATCTATACCCTTTAAAGTCTTAAATGCTAAATTAAAAGAAGCTTAAGATTTTAATGACACTTGGTACTCATACGTAATATAATAATGCTTTAAAACTTATTAAAGTATATCTACAAAAAAGTTGACAGAGACAGGAATATGAAACTTTTAGCTGAACAACAAAGTCACTTAATGGATCCTATTAAAAACTGTGAATGCAAATATTATAATAAACAGTGAAAAAGATCTCGAAACATATCTATTTTCAAGTTAAAACAAATTTACACTCTAGCACTACGAGAACAAAGTCTATATTAGTGTTACAAATAGCAAAAAACTTACCGCTTCTTCATCAGCAGCAGAATACGGCCTTATAGTCAATGGGAGGATAGTTGGAGGAGGCAATGTCCTCAAAGCATCGCTAGTACACTCCACAGGTAACAATCTTCGTAAATCCGCTGTGAGTCCGCCTCGGAACACCCAAGGCTCTTGGGAGCCGCTTTCGAACGCCTCACGCCAGCCTTTCGAGAACCCTGTATGATAAAGAGTGAAGATGGACATAAAGGTCTTCTTAAATTGGTTTATACCTCATTACACCCTTTTAAGAGTTAATATGGTCTGCAGGAAAGTGCTAACCCAGATATGGGTGTCTTGATTTAGGTTGTTGGTGTAGAAAACAGCATTTATTTCGGTTTTGATTTAAGTGTGGGAGAGCCATGCTTAGGCAGGAATGGGTCGGCTCGACCGGAGTGATACCACGGCCTCACAGAAAACCGGCGTGAAACAACCACAGCGTTGTGTTTCGCCGTGTGAGTGAGGTTACCGGAGGCCCAATCCTTCCCCTCCCCCAATCCCTCCTCAATCCCTAAATCTCCAAATCCCTAATCCCTAAAAGGTCGGTAACGCACTCGCAACTCCTCCGTTGCGGGTGTCCATGGGCGGCGCTGATTGCTTACCATCAGGTAATTCGTCTGCTCGTTTGCCGACCTATCACATAAAAAAAAATTATTTTATGAAATTGAATGAATATTATGAAATAGCTTCTCTCTTCCTGGAGGGAGAGGGAGTGTCAGATTCGTACTGACAAAAAACCACTCCGTTTCCTCTCCTGCTCCAAGCCGAGGGCTCAGTACAAGCAAGAGTATTTTAAGATGGTTTTAAAGATAAATAAAACTTACATGTGTATGATCCTTGGGTATTATTCGCTATGTTTTGAGGGTATTTGCCGAGTTCTGTAACAGAAAATATGCATTGTTTAAAATTTAAATAAGAGATAGTACTTTGTTTGCTTGTCATTGACCAAGTTAGTACCTTAATTCTTGATAGAATGCTGTCAGAAAATAACATGGCAATCTGAATGAACAGTGGTGTCACTGCTATACTAAGTCTTGTCGAATAGAATTGGAAAGTCAATGTCTGGCTTTGATATGAGCCTACATAATAAATTAACTAAAAATCGCGGGTTACTCACGTGAATATACTGAGAAAAGCTCTACTAGTTTCGAACCACAGAGGGGTTCCTCATCATGAGCAGCGCGCGCGGACGCGGCGATATATGCTGTAGGCTGCGTCCTTGCACCTTACTTTAGCTTTTCTCAGTATATACACGTGACTAACCCGCGATGTTAATTTAGTATGTCTCACGATAGTTATTATAAAAACTTAGCATACATAATGTTTGTAAAAGTATAGAAGAGGTTCCACAAATGTCATGCTATTGTCTAGGGTTAAAAAAGTTCAGGTTACTAAATCTAAAGCCAAAGTAAAAATGAAGTGTCAATATACCAAGCCAGCGCAGGAACCCGTCGAGTAGCGCAAGTACAGCGCAAAGTTCCCAAACGTAGGGCTGCAGTTCTGCATGCAGCTCTTGGTTGCGTGCCGCCGCCAATCGCCGCGCCAGTCGCCGGGTGCGGCATACCCACCACGCGAACCTACTTCGTCGTCGCCGCCATTCACTCGTCTGTACATAACAATTTATTTTCGACCTCACTAATGCATTCGACTGAATTCACGCAACATTAACAAGAAAAACTTCTAAGTATACTACTATTACGGTTTGCTTACTTACTTGATATTATACAAAAGTAATATTAAATACAATTATCGAATAATACACTGGAAAACATACCGTAACAGCACATAATATCGTATAGGGTTTCACAGGGTAGCATACTAGGTGCAACATATTATAAAGAATATTTCACAACTCTTCTTTCAAACTTTTTCGATATTTTTTTACCAATTTTCGCTAAAAGTATCTCAACAACGCATACCTCTGGCTTATTTCCTCTAGGCAGTAAGCTCGCCGCGTGTGTAGTCAGCCAGTTGAAGTCGTGTAATAGTCTTAGACCACGTGATCCATGTTCAAATGGCAAATAGAAGAGATCACATAATAACAGCAGATCATCCGCTACCAAAGCGTTGGGATCTATTGAAGGATCTTCGTTGTCCACGGGCCTGGGAAGAAAGGAGTTTGGCATTATATATTTGAAGGACCAGTTTAGTTGGATCTCTCCTGAATTTTTAGTTGAAAAAGGCAACAGCATAAAGTATAAACCATTTATTTGCCGCTAAGAATCAAACAAGAATGGTAACACTACCCTTACAGACAAAAGGCTAACTACATGAAGTGACCTCCAGGTATTAAACTTATAATTCTAAATTTTCAGTTGTTACGAACCATGGTTTTACATATTATTAAAATTTGAGGACCTATAACATAACTAGCGAAATGAAAAGATACTTAAACAAGCTCCATTGACAAATCACGCTCGGAAGTAATCCGGCAATGTTTTTTTTATTATATCAAACAGCAGACATCCGTCTGCTGTCACTTAATGGCGAGGAATCGGCGCCGCCCATGGACGCATTCCACAGGACTTACGAGTGTATTTTCGGCCTTTAGAGAATCACTGGATTGGTGGATTGGAAGCCCAATTCTTCGTCCAGGATGTGAGGATTGGGCTTTCGGTATAAAATGGACGGTACTCACTCGTCAACAGTTTCCGCTGGCTCGGCAGGTTCCACCATCATGTCCGTACTAAGCGGACTGTGGCTCGGTTCCACTTGCATCGACCCATTCTGCAAAATAAAGTCATACAGAAATCCGTCTTTATTAAATGTTTTAAGGAACGTTTTAACAAATTTCATAAATAACTCTAAATTACAAAACAAGGTTTAAACCATTGTGCCAGTTTTTGTATTTCGAATTAAAGGCAGGTGACAATAAGATTCAAAATTCAACACTTGACTCGATAGTTTAAACTAAGACTAAAGATAAATTGTGTAGCGTGATGTTTATGTATAGCCTATAGCCTTCCTCAATAAATGGACTAACGAAAACACAAAAAGTATTGTTTAATTTGAACCAGTAATTCAGGAGATTAACGCGTTCAAACAAACAAACTGCTGTTTGCTAATATTATAATTAGTATACATAGCATGCATGATATCTCTATCTCTTTCTCCCCTATCTCTTTACTAACCTCACTCATTCCATCGTTCATGATGACGTCAGGGTCGGTGGCGGCAGTAGACGGAGGGTCCACGTCGAGCGGTTCCACACCGATCTCCGTGTTCGAAGGACGACTCGGACTTAACGTTTGAGGTGTATCTTCAACAAGAATTATTATTGTTATTTATTTTCTAATAAACAAGTATAATTTGGTAGGGTAAGGTAACAGAATGTAGTTTATTTTCTATATTTCACTATTTATATTTGACAACACGTTCAAGGATATCAAGTACACTTACCACCGACACTCATTTCTCCATTCCTCTGTTCCGCAGCAGGATCAACGTCATCAACAATGATCTGATCACCATCCTCTCCCTCTTTTTCCTTCTTCATTTCAAAACTACCCTCCAGTATACTATCCGTTAAGAGAGTATCATTACCATTATCAGATTTATCCATTTCGTGATTATTTTTATTTTCATTCCCTTCCAAGGCTTTCAGACCTAAAATTGGGACGGGGAGAGTTGAAACTGGGATTTCGGATGGTAATGATATGTTGGAACTTGCAATGGGGATTATTGGATTGGGGATGGACTCGTTTAGGATGACTTTGGTTGGGGATACTAGAGAGTTCATTACTGGGTTCGGTACAGGGTTGAAGGTTTCGATTGGTGATACCTGTGGAACAAATTGTTTTATTAAAAATGAGTAATAACTTTAATATAATATGGAACGACCTTTCTCAGCTTTTTGCTATGTTGACATTTTTCTCCACTTATTATTATACATATAAACCTTACTTTTCAATTCTGTTATTCATCCATTCAGTCATTTAAACGTGCAAAGGGATATAGGGACAGAAAAAGCGACTTTGTTTTATACCATGTAGCGACATAGAAGAGTTAGTCAAGGTTCATATTATGTAATAGATTTTATAGCTTGTATGTGTATAAAACTAGATAAAAAATGTATAATAGTAATTTGAACTCGCAAGCAGCGATCATATGCAATCATTATTGAAAAAAATCTACAGTACTAAATTTTGGGAGAGCCATGCTTTGGCTCGAATGGGTCGGCTCCACTCTGTGGAGAGATACCACGGCCTCACAGAAAACCGGCGTGAAACAACCATAGCGTTGTGTTTCGCCGTGTGAGTGAGCGCAATCCTTTCCTTTCCTCAAATAAAATCCCAAAATATCCTAATCCCTTATCCCCAAAACGTCAGCGACGCAATCGTAACATCTCTATTGCTGCGAGTGTCCGTGGGCGGCACTGATTGCTTACTAATTACTTTTAGGTAATCCGTCTGTTATAGTTTATATGTATTTCGTTAAGATATAGTTACAATTACTATCAGGTAATCCGTCTGTTATAAGTTATATGTATTTCGTTAAGTTATAGTTACAATTACCCTAGTGGACAGTATAGGTCGATTATCATTAGATGCGGAACATCCATCAGCGAGTGCCTGTAGCTGCGAAGTATTGACGGTGGGTATGGCGGGCGCCATGTCGGCCGTGCTCGTCGTCGACGTGTTGCTAGTTGCCGTCACTAGGGACATGCACGTGTTCACTGACGGCAGGATCGGGATGATTGGCACAGGTGGAACTGGGGACAATACTTTGTTATCAAATAAGCCATACATTATAAAGTGAACACATATATTTAAAGCTATATAGAATTTTAGGAGGTTTAACAATTTAGCAACACTTCAGTTCTGTGATGACAACGTGGCAAATGTAAAAAAAACTGGACCTAATTTTAACCCTGATGAACACCTATAGTATTATTAGCTACTATGTATTTCAACACATTTATTAAGACACATTTTGGAGAACACGAACATAAAGTACAGTATAAAAAAGTGTATTCAGTTTCAGTTAGTAATTAATAAACATTTCTGAAAGTAAAATGAACTGCTAGACTAATTCAAATGCTTTACTAAGTTCGAAAAAGTTAACTTACCTGTGATGGTTGGCTGGGGCTTAATCACGGGACCTTGAGCAGACTTCGGAATAGAAAACTCAGGCAGCCATTCGTTGATAGCTTGTCTGTGAAAGGAGATAAGATATAAGTGAAATGGGAAGTATCAAAGAGTAATGATAATTCGCGACATACTCATAAGAAATGCCTATGAGTAATAAAATGAAAAAGACAATGTTTCACGATGTTTGAAGATAGTGTAAAACCGGGTGAATAGAATTCGAGGAGCGTATAAATACAACGAAAGGCGAGAATATATACAGAGAGGTAGTAAAGAGGTAAAGAAAAGGAGTCAAATGATACAGAAAATGGCGGATCGGTACAGAGATACAGAAAGGGGGTCAATAGATACAGATAAGGAGTATAGAGATACATAAAAGAGGTAAATAGATACAGAAATGGAGTGAAGAGAAATGGAGAAAAGAGGTGGAGGAATAGTTACAGAAACAGGGCTAATAAAAGTTGGGGAATTTTCCTACTATCTATTCAAACCCTTCTTTATCACCCGTTGAATTCTATTCACCCCATTTTACCGTTACATTTAAATGTACTTAATGCTGATGTTTTCAGAATGGGTACTTCGGGCATTAAGATTTATAAGATATAGAAGAAAATTTTAGTCAAATCTTCATTTTATTGTTTACCTCAGCGCTTGTCGATGATGATACACGTGCTTGCCTAGAGTGAGAGGTGCTTCGTCTTCACAGACACCTTGCTCGCTCTCTCGCTCTAACTTTATGTCCCAGGAAACCGCTTCCACTAATAAACACAAGTGTTAAAAGTTAATTAAAAACTGTAGGTGTATTAAAATTATCCCTATAATCATTACTGCTTAGCTGTAAATTTGAAAAATAAAGTCCTGTAAAATGGATCAGATATTTACCAAGATCTTCACATTTATCTTCCTATTTATTTAAATTAGGTTATAATAATATAATAAAAATATTTTTATCGAATAAAATACTTCATCGCTTCGACATAAAGTATCAAATTACAATCAAATTGGAATGTAACCCAATGAAAAATTATTATAGTGTTATACTGACTATGCGCAGGCGCATCCAGGCTGCAGCTGGCCCAATGAGCGAGCGTCCAGATCGGGATCATGTTGGCGTTGTACTCGCAGTTCGGGTTCGTCAGCACACCGCGGAGTAGTGGGATCAATTCGGGGGAACGACCGCAATATGGACCTGTAGAAAGAAAAACACCCTTTACTTTAAAAAGGGAGAGGGGGGGGGGGGAGGGGGAGAGCTGAACACCTACTCTAGGTACTTTAAAGTTGTTGATACATCTCTAATTAGTCATACTAACAAGTAAACCACTAGAACTCTGTCATTGTCATAACTGCCGACCATTGACAAGCTGCCCGACTGTGTACTGTGCCATTAAAGTCAAAGTAACCAAGATCCAAGTCTTTTATTCATATTACACAAGGTTGTTATGAGATGTACACACGATAGTACCTTCATTTGAGAAAACTTTTCTATCCCATCTCCTGTCGGTTCTCCGAGCTATATCTATACCAACTAATATTATAAAGAGGTATTTGTAAGTTTGTATATAGGGGGTAATCTTTGGAACCGCTGGTCGGATTGCCAAAATTCTTTCACTGGTAGATAGCTCCAATGTTCTTGTGTGCTTTAGGCTATAAAACATCACGCTACGATTAAAAGGAGCTGAGCAGCGGGTGAAACGGAGGAACAGAGTAGCTACTATATACATATTCTAAGTACAAAATTGGACTTACCCAAAAAGATTCGTTTCTGGTCATAATCGTTGGCGTGTAGATTGTCCCAGATGACAGGTGGGCGTCGTAAGACTTGAGTGATCTCCTCTATGGCTTCCGTCGTTAGGACTTTCGATATCACCTTGGGACCTGATGAAGAAAGGATCTTTTTTATTGCTTTGAAATTAAAACATTTTGGAAAAAAATCGGTTTGCAGTTTGGCATAAAGTCAAAATTATTTTTTTGATTTTTTTTCATGTTGTTAGCCAAAAATGATTTTATGGGATTAATTGGCCAGTTGGATTACCTTATGGTAAGCAATCAGCGCCGCCCATGAAAACCCGCAATAATAAAGGAATTACCGAATGCTTTCCCGGCCTTTTGGGGGTAAGGGTTTCGAATGTTTAAGGATTGGGAAGGTATGGTGGGATGGAGAAGGATCGGGCCTCCGGTAACCTCACTCATACGGCGAAACACAACACCTCGGTTGTTTCATGCCGGTCTTCTGAGAGGCCGTGGTATCACTCAGGTTGAGCCGACCCATTCCAGTAATTATTTTGAGACAGCAATTATTGGTATTTGAATTAGGAACTGTTCGATCAAGCATAAGAGCCTGAAGATGCATGAAAATTTTCGTTACCTATTATTTTAACTTTTTGCTGAGGTAAATTCGCATTTGCTGTTTCCAATAATTATAAAAGAATACGACGAATAATATTTACATTGGTAGAGATTAGTTCTCTATAAATTTTCACAATTTCAATTTCCCTCTAAAATTAACAGCACGCATAATAATACAATCTACATCCTTGAATCTATTTAAAGAAGGTTATAAAAATGGCGAAAGTTTATTGACCTCAGATAAAAACAATAGAAAATCACCAACACATGTAGTCCGATGTCGTAAATTAAATATAACAATGAGTCAACGGAAAACTATTATGAATAAAATTTTATTGAGAACTTAGAGAAACAGACAGAACAAACATAATATCACTTTAATAACTGCTCTTAAATAATTTGTCTTTTTTTTCTAAAGCCCTGCTTCGGCACGAAAGGGGTCGGCTCGACCGGAGTGATAAGACGGCCTCACAGAAAACCGGCGTGAAACAACCAGAGCGTTGTGTTTCGTCGTGTGAGTGACGTTACCGGAGGCCCAATACTTCCTATCCCTCAATCCTTTCCCAATCCCTAAATCTCCAAATCCCTAATCCCCAAAAGGTCAGCAAAGCACTCGTAACTCCTATGTTGTTATAAGTGTCCATGTACGGCGCTGACTGCTTACCATCAGGTAAGCCGTTTGCTCGTTTGGCGACCTATCACATAAAAATACATACCACGCAGGGTAAGCCGCGTTCGGATATTACTAGCAAATAAACTAAAAGCTTGAGAAAATATCTGTCTGTCGATTCATAGCGTCTCAATGGTGGATAACGTCACAATGTAATAATTTAATACTGCTTGCTAAACATGATAATAGTGGCGGCCTTTTCCATTCAATTAGCATTGATGTGGTTATAAAATATTATTTATTTACTATGTTATTATTTAGCTCAAAGCATTCTTCATTACGTTTTTTTCTTCTATACTAATAGTATAAAGAGATAAAATTTGTAAGTTTGTATGTTTGTAAGTTTGTATGTAGGGGATAATCATTGGAACCGCTGGTCGGATTACCAAAATTCTTTCACTGATATATAGCTACAATGTTCCTGAGTGCTATAGGCTATAAAACATCACGCTAAGATTAAATGGAGCCGAGTAGTGGGTGAAACCGTGCGAGAGTAGCTAGTTGTAAATAAAACATCACCGGTGTATTGAGTTGATGTTTGTTACCCTTGCATGTAAAAATCACTTAACGGATCCGAATGAAATTTGGCACAAGGATAGATTATAGTCCAAACTAATATTATAAAGTAAATATGTCTATCTGTCTGTATTTTTTTCACGCCTAAACTACTGTACGTATTTGTGTGAAATCAGGTACAGGCATTGTTTGGAATTCGAGAAAGGACATAGGATAGTTTTTAAACCAAAAATCTGCAGGAAGTCACTATTCCACGCGCACAAAGTCGCGGGCAAAATCTAGTGTGGAATAAAACTTAGGCTACTTTTTACTACTGGTAGGCACTGCGGGCAAATTAGCTGGTCCAAAATAGTCCTACTAATATTATAAATGTGAAAGCTTGTGAGAATGTATGGATGTATGTTTGTTATTCTTTCACCCAAAAACTTTTGATTAGGTTGTAATTTAGTACATAGATAGGCGATACCCTGGATTAACACATAGACTGCTTTTTATCAACATACCACGCAGGTGAAGCCGCTGGTGGAACTTTTTATGTGATATGACGTATACGAGCAGACGGATTACTTGATGGTAAGCAACCGGCGCCGCCCATTGACACCCGCAACAACAGAGGAGCTACGAGTGGGTTGCCGAGCTTTTGGGGATTAGGGGTTTGGAGATTTAGGTATGAGGGGAGGGGAGGGATTGGGCCTCCGGTAACGTCACTCACACGAACGCTGTGGTTGTTTTATACCGGTTTTCTGTGAGGCCGTGGTATCGATCCGGTCGAGCCGACCCATTCGTGCCGAAGCATGGCTCTCTCACACTTAAAACTACTGACTAACTGAATTACCCAACGGACTACATATCCAATTGGCTACTTCACGGTACGCTTGCAACCACTTAGCCAAAAATCGGTAATAGAGTCACGGATAACCAAAAGTACATAATACTAGCTGACTTGGCGAACTTCGTACCGCCTCAAATATAACTATGTATTTGTTTTGGACTTTCAAACCTTCTCTGGACTTCCACGAACAATTCAAGACCACAATACGGTTGTTTCCAACTAGTCAAATTCAATACTTTTATCCAAATGTCAAAAACGATACTTTTCTATGAAAATTGTATGAAACATTGAATTATGACGTCATAGCATTTTTGCGTCAAATAGCTTACTTATTTTTAAAAAAATAGCTAAAAAATAACTAAAACTTAGTGTATCGATCGATCGATGAATAAAAGTATAGTTATTTTTCAATATTTTATTGTATTAAAACGTCGAATTAATTTATTTTTGACCTAGGAAACTACCCAATTAGTCAAATCGGTAAAGGCATTATTGAGTTTTGACATTACAACGAAAAGTGGCATTGATTTTTATTTATATTTATTTATTATAAGTGTGGGAGAGCCAAGCTTCGGCACGAATGGGTCGGCTCGACCGGAGTGATACCACGGCCTCACAGAATACCGGCGTGAAACAACCCACAGCGTTGTGTTTTGCCGTGTGAGTGAGGTTACCGGAGGCCCAATCCCTCCCACTCCCCTATCCCTTCCCGATCCTTATATCCCCAACCCCTATCCCCAAAGGCCGGCAACGCACTCGTAACTCCTTTGGTGTCGCGGGTGTCCATGGGAGGCGCCGATTGCTTACCATCAGGTAATTCGTCAGCTCGTTTGCCGACTTATACCATAACAAAAAAATTAGATAAGCAAGTAAACATACCAGTCCACATAATATCGATCTGCTGTGAGAGTTTAGTGCCGAGCGTATTCAGATACTCGGAGCTGTTGACAGTGGGGACGGCGCGCGTCGAGCAGTACTGCGTCGGGCACAGCAGGAAGCGGGGGCAGCCGAGGTGCTGGTGGATCTCATTCGTTACTGACACCTAGGGTTAAGAGAAAATAGTGTTAAGCTTACAAAATTATCTTATCTATACTTCTATACTAAAATTATAAAGAGGTAAAATTTGTAAGTTTGTATGTAGGGGATAATCTTTGGAACCACTGGTCGGATTTCCAAAATTCTTTCACTGATCGATAGCTACAATGTTCCTGAGTGATATAGGCTATAAGACATCACGCTAGGAGTAAATGGGGCCGAGCAGCGGGTGAAACCGCGCGAGAGTAGCTAGTTTTGTCATATAAGAAAACACTTAGGGCTGAGTTTTCAATGGTTAGATAAATAATTATGATGCTGTCGCGTCAGAATGTTTGTATAACGTAACTTAATGAAATTGTTGCTGTCACTGTCGTATACTAATATTCGGACGGCACAGCATCATAATTATTCCACAGATAAATTTTATCTAAATATTGAAAAATCTGTTCTGTAAAAACTAAATAATACGACATACGTTACAGGTAAACGGTAGGTACTCAAGATATATATGTCGTGGCGGCCCCGGCGCACAGCAGGCGAAGGAATGGGGGTCATACAAAATCAAATCATTTACCTATTCCAACTAAACCACAAACAGTGTGTACTTTTGAAGCGTCAAAATAGACAGACAGATTAACAAGTTTTCATGTATACATATAATTAAATTGAAGCAAATTGGATCAAGAGACGGAATTTCTTTTTAATCTTGTCACAGACAGACTGATTGTAGAATAAGCTTATATAATAAATAATTTTATGTAGCCGCAGTGGAAACAGAGTTCATAATACTTATATTATCAACTACTTAAATTTTAAGAGCGAGTATTCGGTACGGGTTGTCATACATACTACTACTTACAAACATTAAACTACTGAACCGAATTTATTGAAATTGTAAACTACACGTAAAATTATATCAACTAAAAAATATATATTTAGCATTTTTACTTCTTATACGTGATTTTAAGGCTGGAACATTATAAACATACAAATATTGTCACTTTAATTATTTTTCGAAAATGGTAATTATGTACTTTATAGATCTTAATAACAATATTAGTAATACAAAAAAATATATATTTACGTATGGATACCAAGTTTTATTAAAGTCTAATTCGAATGATAAAACCCGTGCCGCGTAACTCTTAAATAAAGTAAATGTAAATCTAGGTAACATAATATTAACTCTATACTTGTATATAATGAAGGCCAATGGTACTTGTTGTATGTACAGAGGTAATGATACAGATAACTTACTGTTACGTAGTAACAAAGTAAGGAATAAAAACTAAGACTATAAGAATAATAATATTAAATAGAATAGAAACAAAGAAACTGCAATAAATCTATTATTTTAGAAACGAACTCCTAAAAAAACATATTTTCGACGCCTACTCCGCAACGAGATCATCCAGATCTTTTACTGGGTGTGGAAAACCTTTGAATATCTTCTCTCGCCCTGGATGTGTGTCAGAATCTTACTGACTAAAAATCACTCCATACCTTGTCCGGCTCCAGGCCGAGGCCGCGTCAACTTTTTTCACTTTAAGTACCAGTAACCCCAATCAAGCGGATCCAATCTTTTAACAAACTCAACAAAAATTTCCCAAACACACAACACAAATCAATGATTTTTTGCAGATTATTAATTGTTAGTTAACATTAGATACTTAGCTAGATATGTACTTACTGTTTATATTAGAAAATGATATAATACTTAAAATTATAATGATTTGTAACACTCACTTGAGCATGTGCAAAGCTCTGGAAGATCTGTTTATCTGCCTCACTCATCTCCGGCTCAATGTCATCGAAGAGGAGAGCAAAGCATGTGCAGCCAAATTGGGAGACCTTGAAAGTGAAACAGATGAGTTAATGATACATCTCATACTCTATGCTTTTCTCGAAAGCTATTCTACATGTTTCCATTTATAATTCTAAAGAAAAATAAAAATAATCACCTGTTCCAATTTCCTTTTCAAAGTAGTAATTTCCTTCTGACTACTATATGTTATATCCAGTCCCGGAGACAGTGCGTAACAGAATATGATGCCCTGAGCCTTCGCAGCGGATATGAGTGACGTCAGATGTTCAGCCTCCTCCACAGTGTACAACTCTCTCCAGTACGCCCGGTGCTTGTAATCGTCCTTTGGAGCGTAGACGTACATGTCCATACCCCATTTTTTGAGTCTGTAGACAATTTGTAGAATGTGTGGTATAATTTTAATTATGTGTCTTATAATTTTCTTGATATCTTGTGTTGACCACATAAAAGAACAATGAAATATTGAATATAGATAATTTTTTAAGTAAATTGAGTATTGTAAGTAATGTATGCTAGTCTATATTTTATAAAAATTTACTCATATTACAACATTATTGAAACCTAGCATGCAGGTAATGCACTATGATTCACACTGTGATTTCAAGACCAAAATAAAGATTACATCATGACATCATATTACTTACTCTGATAAAAATTAATGTAGTAATATTCAAACCCAATACAGAATCTCTAGTGTTTGCTTTGTACTTTGTACACATAATAGCCAAAATCTTGATCATCTTATAAAACAATGACTCAGTAAAATTGATAAAGTCAATATAAAAATAATTAATTCCAATTAAACCATAAACAAGTACTTTAGAAACAAGAAAACACAATATTAATCCAAAATAGACTATAAACTGACTGATAGACATGTCAGTATTTCAGTGAAGCTAGATGCTTGTTCAAAAATGAAATGAAGTTGATTCAATATTGCAAGAGGAAGGCAGTATATTTTAGCACTAAACAGGCAAATGCTCAGCTGCCATCATAACAAAAAAAGATCAGCTACTATTGCAAAGTTTCTGATTGACAATTTAAAATATGAATTGGTCCTTTCCTATCCTATATGAGTTAGTATCAGTCCGAGAAACCCACCATTTTTAAGTACAAATAATGTAGTCTTTTTTCATATTCAAATTTTTAAAAAGAAAAAGTTCAAGTAATAGGGTAATTGCAGATATTATAGACATGAACTCGTTGTTATAGTAATCTTATGTTATCCGCAGACCTCACACAAGTATTTTATGTTATTATTTAATTATATTATCAGTTAAACATACTGTAGAGTTATTAAGTGAAAATATTGGTAACCATGATTAAAATATTTAATTGTATTATGACAATAGTGTGAAAAAATCAATACAAACTTATTAGAATCTCAATAATACCTGGTGATCAACTTTCTGACCTGTTTACATAAATCTGACCACTGTTCATAGGTATAGCATCTAATTATAAAGCTTTTATTAAGGATTCATAGCTAAACCTGTTATTATGCTAATCATATTAACAAATAAACAAATATTACTATGTCACCGAGACTACAACACAATGTCAAAATGTCTAGAAAGTTGTTGAATAAATAAACGAAAATGAGATCTTATTGTGTTCTAATTAGCAATTAATCAATAATTTACGTAATTATAATGAATACTCACTTTTGAAACAAGTCTTTCCTTTGTTCCGTAGTCCACGGTCGTCCGTAAAAGCCTGGAATAGTAAAGCTTAGGTCATTCACTCCATTGCAAACTGAGATACGAGATGTATAGCTACGACAACTATATCACACATTTTCACGTAAAAATAACTACAATTACCTTCAACAACCCCGCAAATAAAGTCCTTGCGATTAGGACTGGGTTCGTCCGGTGATGCTTCAGTCATATTTACAAGTAAATTAGCAATTTAGACCACCAAAATGTAATGGTACGTCCGATGGATCAATTTCTAGTGTCGTTATGGAAGATTTACAAGGTTGACGCTGACTCACTCACAGACAGCGGCAATGTAAATAACTGTAATAACAATATCCTAAATAAAAAGCACCGGTTGACCCGTAACAGACGTAAATTGGAGATTTACTTTATTCCCGACAAGGAAATCGCAGAGATATCATGATGTGTCAAACTAACGATTTCGTTTAGTGTCTCCATCGAACAAGCAAACTTTCTATTCAATGTTTATAGCTACTCTTTCAATTTTCGGTTTTCTATACGTTTATAACAAAAAAATAATCTGAACTATTTTTAAAATGTTTAATTTTTAACGCTTTTAATGTTATTCTTTGAACTTATCGTCAGGAAATCTACTCACAACATTGTAACAAAACGTAGTTGTTACTCTCGGTAGGAAATTAAAATATATACTGGCAACACTTTTAATATTCACGGCGGGTTCGCGCATTTTTTAAATTTATTATTGAATAGGTATGTAGGTAGTTAATTATTGTGACTACCGAATTTACTTCATAGTAATATAGTTTTATAAGTATAGAGGTAGTACGCAAATAAGACGACATGGCTGTATAATTGATTTATTTCAATTTGTAATTTACAAAGATATCTTACATTACATAAGTAATAATAGGAATAATTAGGTAAATAGTTTGATGTAATACTGATAAAATGACTTACGAGTGCAATAATGTATAATTACCTAAATTCAAAAATTTTATTCAAACGACCGGCATAATTTATTTTAAAACCAGCTAACAAAATAATCACAAAAATCTATTCAATAGAACATTTATCGGCAAAAGTGCTATTAATTAATGACTAGAATATTTTAATACTGGAATGTTGACATATTCACTTAAAACTAAAATACTTACCTTAGCCTATTGATAGTTATATACAAAACATTTTTGATATAATTTCATTATATTTACAATAAATTGTTAACATTTCAAAACGAAAGAAGATATTACATATTATAATTAAAAAGTAAGTAAGGAAAATTATTAGCACATAGCAGTATTACTAAAATATTATAAACTTTCAGTTAAACTGTGAAATACTTTGTTAATAAAAGTATTTTTATGTAATGTAAGAACGAAATTGCATTTGTTTTATGTACACTTTTTTCACAATCACTAAATAAATTGCAATATACTAAACTGTCCCATCTATCGACGACATCTTTTGACATTTTGGATAATATACTGATAAATTACACTGGCAATAAAAAAATTGAAAAATGGAACTTGACCAATGTGAAGTGCGCAACAAGTATTTCGCTGTCAATTTTACACACAAACGTTAACTGCATATGGGCGTCTCGCTCACTCAATGGACTGAATTCAGAGAAGACCATATCTTTTCTAAAAGCTAGTAAATTTTTAAACCATAGTGACAATAATTTATTTTTATACACATCGCCATTTTAATTTACAACTAATCTTGAAGCACATGTATTAAGCAAAAACACCTTTTTTAATTGTCTTTACTGGTTTCATTTACTTATTTACTTCGGATGAAGATCTTGTCTCCTATTTAGTAGTAGACGGCTGATAGGCCGCATCTCTGCAAGTGTCAGCCGAGCATACCGCCTGACATGTTCCCGTGGACCCTCATGTGGCGGTTCAGGTTGCCTGATTGGGAGAACCTGTCAAAGTAATAAGGTGTATTAGTTGTAGTGTAGGATTATATTTGAATGAAATTCATTTGGATATTAAACAGACAGCTTTATAAGGTACTGTAAAAGAATTTCGTGGACTTGTCTCGCATTTAATTTCTCATACCTATGATGTTATGCTTAAGAGTTCCTTATACAAGACGAGAATTGATCCAAAAATTTACTAAATCGTTTGTTTAGTTCTTAGTAACCTCACGAACCATATCTAAATACAATTAATAAGATAACTATTATGATACGAACTTCTTGTTGTGAGGAGACAGCATCTATAGAAGATCAACTATAAAATTTTATAGATGGTGTCACCACTTTCAAAATTCCTGAGTAGTGACTCACCAGGCTCTATTACGTCATCTGATCCTAAGATCCTTATTTCCCGGTCTTAAAGAACATCAAACTCTGTTCTTTGAACCACAATAGCTAGCCTTTTAATTTAAAACGTTAATGTAAAAATACGCGTAGGTATTTGATAGATTAGTTTGCCATTGTGTAGAATATTCAAAAACTACTTACGGTTTCTTTAAACTAAGTAGGTAATACAAACTTATTTCAACTAAACTCCTTTACAAATAAGTATCGTACTCCAATTATTCTTTACCTCAGTAAACACAATTTGCACTGGTACGGTTTCTCTCCCGAATGGATGCGTAAATGCTTCGTTAGGGTAGAACTATCGGAGAACGCCTTCTTACAAGATCTGCATCTGTTGATCATAATTGTTGGTATGTATCATTTATTGAAGGCAACTTAATGAAGAAGGGGGTCTTGTATTAGTAAGGCTACCGGAGGCCTTATTTTTGGAAGCAAAATCATAATATGACTTCTCTTGCTCCGAGACTCTTATTGACTAAAATGCCCCGGTTCCATCTCCGTAACTATGGGTACTGGGTAACCATGACATTCAAAGTAAGACTGTTTTAATATAATAAAGTAGTATAATAGAATAAGAGACAGAGTTAGACAACTTGTATAGCTCTTTTTCTTGCCCACACTGAAGTAATATTTTGAACGTCATGGTTAGCCCCTGTTCCAGGTCGAAGCCGCGGTACATTATAGCGTTTGAAAAAAACTTGGTCCATTTGGCCTTGGTCCATTCTAAAAAGATCGAGAGTGACCTTGAAACTTCGTTGGAGTTAAGCATATCCATGGGTGGCGATGATTGTTTAGCATCCCATGTTGGTACAACGAATTATCAGATTTGTAAACTCGTTTTCGCCCTCCCCCTGCTCTACCCCCTGATTCTCCCAAAAGATTATTTTCGAAAAATCTAAATTAAAGAAATAGGTAAGTACCATAAAATACTTACTGATACGGTCTTTCTCCTGAGTGTGTTCTCATGTGAGTCGTGACGCTGGAACTCTGGCTGAACCGACGATCACATATGGGACACCTTGAACAAAACAACAATCTAGAATGTAATTAAGTTTTAAGTGCTGGAGAGCCATGTTTCGGCACGAATGGGCCGGCTTGACCGAAGCGATACTACGGCTTCACAGAATTTCGGCACGCAATAACATTACGGTTGTTTTGCCTTGTGAAGGCAGCGATTGGTGGCCCAACCCTTCACGCGGTGATATCATATTTAAAACATTCTCAAGACTCATCATCCCTGACAGCAAGGCTGGCAACGCACTTATAACTTTTATGGTGTTTTTTTTTTGGGAGGGGAAAATCATCAAATGACTTCTCCCGCCCAGGGCCGGGCGGGAGGGAGTGTCAGACTCTTATTGACTAAAAACCCCCCTGTTCCTTCTCCTGCTCTGGGCCGAGGTCGCGGTGCCTCATTGCGAATTCTATGGTGTTGCTGATGTCTATGGGCGGCAACGATTGTTTTCCATCACTATGGATACGATATTTGCTCCTTTGGTGACCAAACCCATAAAAATGACCTGGCTAAAGCAAATGCAAATCCATTATTAAAATGGAATAACGTTACTAATCCCTTTCTTTTGGTTTAGGACTTGTAAGTACAAGATCCTATGGACAAGGTGACGATTATTGATGCTTTTATATTAGACAGATTCCGTAGACATACCGAATCTCTGATTGTGTTTTCATTACGTATATTATTCTTTGTTATTAACTTACCTAAAAGGTTTCTGACCAGTATGAGTCCTGACATGGGCAGTCAAGTTGGCAGCTTGAGAGAAGCTCTTGTTGCAGTCGCCACACCTGTACGGTCTCTCACCGGAGTGAGTGCGAAGATGGGTCTTCAACGTGCTGGGTCGAGCATACGTCTTGCCACATATACGGCAAAGGTTGGGCTTCTGTTCGTCATCTTCTGAACAGTTGCTTAGAGCTCCAACCTGAGAAAAACGATCCTTAATAGTTTTTTTACCATGAAGCAAACAACCGGTTTGTTACTTAAGTGATGCCTCGTATGGTTTGGCAATTAATACGAACAAGAAGCTCGTCAATAAATATTTTGGTTTGTCAAGTCATGGAGTGTTTTTAGTTCCTTACTGCCCTAAATATTTAAATATTATAAGTGTGGGAGAGCCATGCTTCAGCACGAATTGGTCGGCTTGACCGGATCGATACCACGGCCTCACAGAAAACCGGCGTGAAACAACCACAGCATTGTGTTTTGCCGTGTGACTGAGGTTACCGGAGGCCCAATCCTTCCCCTCCCCCAATCCCTGAATCTCCAAAATCCTAATCCTTAATAGGTCGGCACGCACTCATAGGTAACTCCTCCGCTGTGGGTGTCCATGGGTGGCGTGATTGCTTACCATCATCCAGTAATCCGTCTGCTCGTTTGGCAACCAAACCTAACTGAAAAATATGCTAGAACTTAAATTTTGCAATCATCAAGATATAACTTCTAGGCAAAAGAATAATTTGAAATCCTTCCAACTGGCATAGAAGCGAGAAGAAGAAGAAGAATATCGAATTTATTTTCACCATATAACACTTTCAGTACAAATAAAGTTAATAAGATTTAAAAATAATAAATCCCTACTCACCGGCACTTTTCCAGAAGAATTAACACAGGCAGCATATCCATATTCCTGAGGATGCATCTGTCCTTGATTCAAGATGTACCCATTGCCCATATTCTGTTCCTTTTGCGTCTCCTGTGCATAAAGCTTAGACGGTGGCCTTTTCAAACTTTGCCCCAAACCTTTTTGGTTGGAAAAATTCGGTTTCTGCTGGAATAGGGCATAGTTAGGATTTGGCTTTTGTGGATTTTGCAGCAGAGGCTTGAAGGTCGAGGTGGCTGTTATGAGGGGGTCGCTCTGATTAGGTGTTCTGAAGTCCGCAGTAAAGGAGTAAGTGGCTGAAGGATAAGTTGATGAGCTGATCACGTTCTGTGATTGAGGATAGACCACGTTCACTGATGGCGTCGAGGCGTTCTGGTTCCATTGCATCTGTAGGCGAATATGTATTTAATAATATGTGTAATGTCCTTAGATCTATATTCTTAAAATCATAAAACAAGTAAGTATTATAGGATAGTCCAAGTAAATTATGTTTGTCGAATTATGCGAATAAAGGTACCCTATTCGAAACCTCAGATTAAACCAATGGGTACTTCAATAAAAGAATTCTAAGGGCTAATTTTTTTATAGTCAGTTTAATGTTACCTGGGCAATAAAATTGATGCGAGAGCATTCTAATTATTTCCCAGGTAGCTTTTATGTAACGATTAAAAAATCAGCCCTACTTAAATGAAATAAAGGTTCAAATTTTTAAAAGAATCCTAAAGTATGAGTACCTTCCTATGAATTTCTTATTTTTTTTTTAAAGAAAGTTGACCCACACTAGTGTTTTCTCCTGTGTCGTGGGTGCGGTTACAAACATATAATTTCACATACACATCACACCCAGACCCGGAAAAACAATTTGTGGATCACACAAAGAGTTGTTCGGTACGGAAATCGAACCCGCGACACGTTGCACGGCAGCCAGTTGCCCAGCCACCGCACCAACCGTGCAGTTAAAGTCAGTGCATTTATTTGCGAATTTCTGAATATAAGCTTGAATACTTTTTTAACACGATATTTGCAGATAATATATCAAAAGGACGAATAACTGAGTTCGGTAAGTTACACTTCTCGTCAAGATTGTGGTTAAACATCGTATTCTTTGATAAGAAGAAAATGGCATAACGAACCTGCGAACACAGTTGCTCTGGGGGGCAGCCGTGCATAGTCATGTTCATGGAAACGTTGACACTCATGGTGGGAAAGAGGGGCGCTCCTCCATAGTGCTCGTAGTATGGGTAGCCGCCGTTGTTCACCATCATCTGCAGGCATGGTGTAAGTTAGGGCCATGGCAAATATTGTTGTTATACTTTTTAAGGTATAAAAAGTCACGCGTTGCTGTGGCTAAGGTAAATAGTATTGTGACTATAAATTGAGATGTAAGCTAACCTATCTTTCAAGTTGGATCAAAATGCACACGGAATGCAAATCAAATTTAAAATCGGTTTAGTAGTTTAGGAGTCCATCGCGGACAAACATGACACGAAATTTTTATATACATATAAATGTAACATATTTTTCCATTGACAACCTCCTTGAAATATTCCAACCAAACATAATTATTGATTGTTGCTCCAATGCTCCAATCTAAATAATTCAAGAACTATTTTTGTTTTTAATTCTAGATCAAGTTTTCTTTAACTGGTGTTCCAAATATATGTATTAACAATTTGGTAGATATTTAGGGCATTCGTAGTTTACGTTAGCTACGGCGATACGCACTACGCGACGCGCCGCCGCTACCCGCCTTCCGTCGCTACACAACGAGCTCCGGAACGCGTAGTACATACATCGTACCTTTATTATTTTTGTAACTAAGTTTATTATTTTTGTAACAGCTTCTTAAGGGTGCAATACTGATACCAAATTCCTCCACTATTCAATGGATGTTATTATTCATATAAAAAATCCTCATCAATCACGTTATCTATTAAAAAAACGCACCAAAATCTGTGGCGTTGTTTTAATTTAACATTTTACATTTAGACGACAATGGCACATAGATATACCTAATACAAAACTTGGTAATAAATTAAAACTAAATCTATGTTTTGTGCGTCCATGACCTGTGGCCAGAAGCTCTCGTCTACCACGAGTTGTGGGGCACACGTCAGCACATGGGGATTTAAACATTTAAGTTAACATAGGGATATAGGGATAGAGATGGCCATTTCTTTATACTACTTAAGTAAGTAGTGATAAGTACTTAAAATAAAGTAAGCATTCTGCTGAATGTTAGATACCACAGAGAAAATAACTTAAATGTTTTAGGCAGCATCCTATATCATAGCGTTCTTGGGAACATTTTGTTAAGCGTTCTATCGGGCGAGCATTCTAGCGAAAGATAGAAAAAATCTTTCAAGCCAAGAAAAATATTTATGACGAGCACAATCGCTAGATGGCTACACTAAACCTTTTAAGTAGGTAAGGATTAATCTTTTGATGAGAACAATTTGTAGATGAATGTCCCCAAAATAAAATCCGAAATTATTAAAATCTCGCTTATTAACTGTGCGTAGGTAGTTAGGCCGGCTCTCTGGCTTCCAGTTTCTGGCGAAATTGAGTAATGACGTGGCTTGTTTAATTTACGGTCTGTACCAGCCCTCGAAGGTCAAAAGGTACTTAGATTTGAGACCTATATTAGGACTGAATAATTTATCACCAAGTTTCCCGAAAAGAGTAATTGAGATGCCTTGTCGACACATTGACATGCTGGAGGACCCTTCAAAACCCTGTTAAAATTACAATCTCAAAACTTTTACAAGCTACTTGAATGCCAATGGACCGCAGCGGAAGACCGGGTAATGTTTTGTAAATATTTATTAGTTACCTACAATACTTTTTATGGGACTAGCTCGACTCAACCTCCCAAAACCGCTGCTACTCCTGTAAGCCAGGATCTACAGTAGATACAACGATGAAAAAAACACCGGAGCACTGAAGTCCGGCGCGTCCCAGGTACTTGAATGAAATAAATCAGTAGATTTAATTTGAGGAGAAGAAAAAACAACATTTATTGGAATGTTGCTTTCTTCTAATTTTAATAAATATTATAGGTAGGTATATCCACGTGACATCAAAGGGAAACTTTTTGTTCCATTATTTCTTTTGTTTACCTTTGAAAGCAAAACAAAGGTTTTATTGTTGTGAAGTTCCCTTACCGACCCTTATGTAATAAATAAATCGGCTGACTTGACTTGACTTATGTACCTACTTTTAAATTTACAAACAAAATAGGTATGTAGATACCTAATGATTATATGGGTAGATACCTTTAAGTAGGTATCTAAATTAAATATCGAATGATGATGAATAAACATAATTTTTTGCTATTTATAACGTATTAAAATTTGTTTTTTTTTTTTGTTTCTCGGTCGAATCAATTATCGAAGGAATTTTGCTTGCTACTTAGTAGGTATACTAACAATCATGCATTTTTTCTTTAAATTGTATAAGTACTTACTTATTTAAAAAAATATACAGTGTCCAACTTTCATATAGCTTATATCTCAATTTATATTAGTCATAATATTATATCACAATTATATAAAATTTGACAAGAACCTTAGCCACAGCAACGCGTGGCTGGGTCTGCTAGTAATACTTATTATAAAAGCTCAATGTACCCTATTCCTGATTTTAGAAGACCATATTTCTAACCCATCTGACAGACTTAATACGTATGTAGTGGACGAAAAAAAAAATAGATGTTATTGTCTGTTCTAATCAAAATAATATGTTTTTATGTTTCTGTCGTTTGGCTACGGAGCCCCGAAAAGGAAAACTTTTAAATATTTACGTATACATACCTAAGTTTGTTTGAAGGTGTATGATCATTTTATTCATAGTTTTACCCTTAAATAACGAAGCTCCTCACAGTATTATTTAACTTCATATCATCATCATATTCTCTATAAATATTAAATCTCATCGACATTTCAATTTGATAAATCCGGCGACGAAGCCACACAGAAACGTTTATAAAAGGAAGCCTGTAATAATCCGGGATGCCGAATTAATTACAATTATTTCATATCGGAACCCTTGAAGGGCGGAACCCGTTTCCACAGATTTCCACATATTTTCAAACACCCCGTTTGTAAGACAGGAATAGCCAATCAAAACCGTCGATGCTAAAGCGAGATGCGAAACATTCGAATTGAAGTTGAACAGAGCGATGTATAGCCGTGCTTGTTTAACTAATCGATGAGTTGGTTTGTGTGAAAGGGACGGTGGTACCTGAGGGTGTACGGCCTCGGAGGAACAGTCGCCATGGACGACGGCGTGTTTCAACGAGAGGAGGACGTCCGCCGCCTCCCCTCCACCCCGCTCCCTGCATTCGCCCGCTCCGCTCCTGTTTAAAGTAAAGGGATGTATTGTATTGGAATGCATCAATTTGTTGAATTACTTATAACTAGGTTGTGAGTATTCTAGTAAGTAGGTACATTATCATATAAAGGGCTGATTTTTCAATAGTCAGATAACTGTAATTGTTATTTCAGGCATAAAATTGTTGCTGTCACTGTCTTATACAAACATTCTGACGCGACAGCATCATAATTATTCCCCAGGTAACTTTTATCTAACCATTGAAAAATCATCCTTTAAAGGTTTGGTATTCATTTAAAACTTTAGTTATTGGTAACACAGTCGACATAAACTAGGTACTTAGAAGTTATTTTTGTTGATACCTTATAGTGGGTTCGATTTCCATTCGGAACAACTCTTTGTGTGATCTACAAATTATTGTTCCGGGTCCGGGTGTGATGTGTATGTAATTGTAAACGCACGCAGGTAATTTCTTTGAATTGATCTGAATATAGCGCGTTCCGCGTTATATAATAAAATAAATTCCAAATTTAAAAAAAACCAACAAAAATCTAAGATCCCTTTAAAAATTAAATAATACAATTATGCGTCGCGTTGGGGGTCCGCTCCAAATTTTTTATGATCTACCTACAATTTTTAATGGTCCCCCGTGACGAATTTTTGTTATGTTTTTACTGCACGGTGGCTGCATTCATATGAGTAGCGTCTTCGCAGCTGACTAGACTAGTTTTTCATTAAATTCAATAGGTATGTCTCACTATAGTTACTGTAAAAACACCAAGATCAGTGTAAAGCTCACAGAAAACCGGCGTGAAACAACCAGTGTCGTGTTTCGCCGTGTGAGTGAGGTTATCGGAGGCCCAATCCTTTCCCTCCCCATTTCCTTCCCAATTCTTAAATTAACACAAAACATCGGCTACACACCGAAACTCCTTTGGGTGTCCATGGGCAGTGCAAATTGCTTCACATCATATGATCAGCGTACGAGTATAAGTGCTTACTGAGCACTGAGCAAAGGCTTCTTGACACACGGAGAAGGTTTGAGCACTAAGCACCACGCTTGCTTAAGGCGTATTGTCGATTTCAAGCTTAGGGCTAATGTTCAGCCGGGGTTGCGGGTTAAACGCATTGAGTCACCGCGGCCTCGGCCCAGAGCAGGAGCAGGAACTGGGGGTTAGTCAATAAGAGTCTGGCTCTCTCTCGCCTTACCCTGGGCGGGACACGTCACTTGATGATTTTCCCCTGACACCTGATTTTTTGGAAGGCATTCAGTCCGCCTATGTAGTTACCTACCTACAAAAGTTTGTGTGCATAAAGCCTAATAAATAAATAAAATAATTAGAAATTATAAGTCCAGGTTTCCTCACGCAATTTTTCTTCCCCATATGTCAGTGTGGATTCTAAATAATAATTTCTATGATTATTTAGACACCACAGTACATACATATAACTCCGAAAAACCTTTACCTCATAGAAAAAGCTAGTCGGGAGAAGTGTAGCTATACATATACTTAGAAATATGGTAACTTACTTGTATCCCGAGCATGGTGAGAATGGGAACAGCGATGGCAGCGGTTCCAGGTCGAGTGGGGGCAAGGAGAAGGAGCCCATGTCCTCGGGAGGCCACCCCTCGTCCGGCGACAGCGCCGAGCACGCGATCGTATCGCTTAATGCGTTCAACTCTTCGCCATTTTCTGGACAGCAGTTCTCGTTTTCCTGCTGCAAGAGGAATCTATGATCAGAGTGTGATTCTGTAACGCTTCATTCTAAAATTCGAATTTGAATCCGCGTGAGAAGTAGTACACTAGTGCTACACTTGCGAGTGGAACTAAATTGACCGCAACATTTTGATAGGTAAAGTATGAGATGACGTTAAAAGTGGCATTCTATAACGTAATTTCCCCGTCACTTCGACGCTCACTTAACACTCGAACAAGATTCAAAATTAAACTAATTTTATAGAATCGACGTGCAGCATACAATTTTAGTTTATTTGTAATCTTACAGGTATATTAGAGGACTTGAATTCCCAACGGTTTCGATAGCCAAAAAACTCTAGCCATTTTATATAGAGACTATTTTGTATTAACAAATGACTAGAGTTTTTTTTGTCAATTGAGAAGACATTATTGAGTTTCTTAATTGCTTGTTCTCCTCCATTAGAATCTACACTTTGAAACGAGCACGTAGCTTCACTAACGAGCAGACTAACAGACTATTATTCTATTTTAACGTTCAAAAGTACCTATTTGTCGTTTAGGACCGATTTTTCTTTTTTTTTATGTAATAAGTCGGCAAACGAGCAGACGCATTACCTGATGGTAAGCAATCAGCGCCGCCCATGGACACCCGCAACAGAGGAGTTACGAGTGCGTTGCCGACCTTTTAGGGATTAGGGATTTGGAGATTTAGGGATTGCGGAAGGGTCCGAGAAGGGGAAGGATTGGGCCTTCGATAACCTCACTCACACGGCGAAACACAACGCTATGGTTGTTTCACGCCGGTTTTCTGTGAGGCTGTGGTATCACTCCAGTCGAGTCGACCCATTCGTGCCGAAGCATGGCTCTTCCACACTTAAACTTTTCAATGGTTAGATAAAAGTTATATGGGGAATAAATATGATACTGTCACGACAGAATGTTTGCATGAGACAGTGACAGCAACAATTTTCTTCCTCAGATAACATTTATCTTTCTATTGAAAAATCAGCCCTTATTGGAATAAATTATTTTGATTTTGAGGAGCAGAGAAGATATTGGAACGATGGAACATACGGAAGCTGTCTTTACTGTTACGGTCATGGCTGTTAAATTCCGCCATTTTGAATCCTTTACACGAATACACGGGACAGAGCGATTGTTCACTTGAATATAAGGAATCGGGAAACATTGTAAGCAAATTGGTCCGAAGACCTCCTCATTCACTCGATGACCGCGACAGAGAGTTAAAGTCTTTTAAAAAATTGGGTTCACTCCTATCTACTTTTTTGTAAGACAGGAAAATCAATAAATTAGTTCTCCCACCCATGGTCTTGAACACATGTCTTTGAAATGAAGAAGTAGATAAGTCGGTAGTGTAGTCAACCGGGTTTGCAAGCCTTTCTTTTTTTTGTCAGTGACATTGATCCAATTACTTCTCCCACCCAGGGTAGAGCGAGAGGGAGTGTTAAACTCTTACTGACTAAAAACCACCGTGATCCTTTTCCTGCCCAGGCTTGCAAACCCTGCCTCAAAGAGCCAATAGACCACCACAGACAAAGCCCTATAGGACTGATGTTCAGCCGGGGTTGCGGGTTAAACTCAATGAGTCACAGCGGCCTCAGCCTAGAGCAGGAGAAGGAACAGGTTAGTTTTTTAGTTAGTAAGATCAGACTCTTATCTCACTCTCTCTCGCCTAACCCTGGGCGGGAGAAGTCATTTGATCAATGTCCCTGAAAAAAAGGAAAGGTCTGCTAACCCGGTTACACACCCGTAACACTACAGACTTATCTACTTCTTCATTTCAAAGACATGTGTTTAAAATGTGTAAAACAAAATTTTAATTGACTCAACACGCATTAAGTTTAAGCTGTGTGTTAGGATTAATTAAACGGATAGATTAACGCGTGCTTTTGGAGGTTTTTCATGTGCGTTAGTGCCGACGGAGTGATAAGTAATTAAAAAGAAACACAAGAACTATAACGACTATATTTAGAAAAATTGGGAGCGATAGTAGCCAATACTATCTACTACTATTCTATCTTATTAATATTATAAAAGTGAAAGTTTGTAAGGATGTACGGATTAACGTCTGACCGACAGACTGACGCTATATCTTCAAAATTTTGTTTGACTTTTAAAAGTGCCTGTAATGGTCTAATTGGAATAAATGATTTTTGCCTTTTTTGTGATTCTTTCACGCAATAATGGCCGATTTCGTTTTGGTCTAAGTTTGTTATGCAGACATTGGTATGGTGATACCTACCCCGGATAAATACTTTTTATCGACATACCATGCGGGCGAAGCCCCGGGCGGAAGCTAGTTGCAAATAACTAAGAAGTCTCACCAGACTAAATATGACAAAGACAAAACAAAAACGCATACGTCTATGTAGGTAATGTAAGTAGGTATTTACTTCGAGAGACGATCTTCAGCCACCGTAAGCGCGGGTCTGCGTACGGCGAGTAAGGGTAACTCGCCACCCGAACAGAAAAAGACCCGAGCGTACGGCGCGTAGAATTCCGTGCGCGCCTCAAAGAGCCAATAGACCATCACCCGGAGCCCTGTAGGGCTGATGTTCAGCCGATTGCAAGCGAAATGAGGCACCGTAGCATCGGCCCAGAAGGAGAAGGAACGGGGGGACACTCCCAGAATACATTTGATGATTTTCCCCTCACAAAAAAAAGTAGGTAGGTACTAACTTAATTTAGGTTTCACCAACCTTAAAATATACTTGGACTTAACCTTAAAAAAACAGACAAGAGTACTGATTAGCTGATGTTAAGCAATCACAGAAGGTGGTGGTGGTACCACCCGCAATACCAGAAGAGTTACGAGTGCATATGTGGCATTTTAGGGATAGGGGTTCGGCGATTTAGCACTGCTTAAAGTTTGTAGTTGGAGTTTGACTTTCTTGTTCATTCCACACAAATCTAAAGCTTGGAATGAGTGATATTTCAAAATAAGCTAGGACTAATTATTTTTCGTATTTAAAAATCTTTGTCCCATACTTTACTGCCCTGGATTCATTAGCAATGACTTTTCCAGGTATCCAGGTACTACACTGAAGGCAGGCAGGGCAAGAAAATGATGTGTGTCTACTAGGCATAAGTTTGAAACTATTAAAAGTATTAAAAGTATTGCATTTATTGAGAACTAACGAACCATTCTGGTTTCGCACGGGTGCAATACTGATAGTAATTTCTCCACTGTAAAATAGGTGTTATTACATAATAGATAAAAGATATTATTTGTATTTAAAAAAAACACATCAAAAACCGTTGCGCAGTTATTAAGATTTAAAGCATACACACACAGGGATATAGGGACAGATAATGCGACTTTTGTTTTACCTATATCTACTATGTAGTGATATCTAACAGATTACTCACGTGAATTGAATAAAAACTGAGAAAAGCTCTGATAGTAGTTTTATTAGTCTACTACTCTTTTATAGTATAGAGCCGCTATCTGCACGGTGCCCATGAATAAGAGTCCCGTTGTGACTTGAAACTAGTCGAGTTTTTCTCGGTTATTTTACGTGAGTAAGTCGTTATCTATATCTACATCTATACTTATATTATAAAGAGGTAAAATTTGTAAGTTTGTATGTAGGGGGTAATCTTTGGAAACGCTGGTGAGATTTCCAATATTCTTTCACTGATAGATAGCTACAATGTTCCTGAGTGCTATAGGCTATAAAACATCACGCTACGATAAAATAGAGCCGACCAGCGGGTAAAACCGCGTGAGAGTAGCTAGTTTTTTATAATTTAGTATGTCTCATGATAGTTTCTGAAAAAATAAACAGTAGCTTCAAGCCTGGAGATGCAGTGAGCGACAGAGAGTGATATATTATTAATTATGTTGCCTAATATTACTTTTTGTTACCTTTTTTACAGAATGAAAGGTAGGGTTTTTTTGTGAGGGGAAAATGAGTGGGGTGGGAGGGAGTGTCAGACTCTTACTGACTAAAAACCCCCCTGTTCCTACTCCTGCTCTAGGCCGAGGTCGCGGTGCTTCATTGCGCTTACCCCGGTACCTAACTAAACTCGAACCATGTAGAAATGAAGTCTAAGAACTCACCACCAGCACTTTACAATTATAAGATTTCAATGAAAGATTATTTTCTACTATGCTACAATTTTCTGGAATATGTTCCCATTTTTTATTATTATCGATACCTACCATCACAATTTCATAAGCAAGTTATTGGATGATGTATCAGTAAGTTCTTACTTACTTATCGTTTGTGGCTTTGAAGAGTCCAAAAGTTCGAAATTTGATTTCGGAATTTGATCGACTTTTATAGTTTAAATTGGCACCCAACATGGGACCCTTGAATTAAATACTTTGTTTAATCTGTGGGAGTGTTTCATTTACATACTAGGCTTATTATATTTTCACCAAAGAAGGTACTTACAACATTTTATATATTTAATACACTTATGGCTAGTTTTGCATTTCTAAATAGCCGCTATCGTACAAAAACGTATGAGAGTAAAAATGGATTTGTATAGCAAAGGTCAAACAGAAATTTGACAATCAAATTCTCCAAACACTCACAAAAAGTTACTTACCATAATTATAAAATATAAAATTGGCGACCAACATAGGACTTGTTCTTAACACCAACTAAATTACATCAAGTATTTAATTGAACCATCACACATTACCTGCGAATCTATCCACCTGGAATCACAGCTTCTAAACACACACAAACACGAATTAATGATAAACACACCTGACAGCACTCTTCCGGGAACTCTCTCAAAGGGTTCTCGACACAGGTGCACTGGAGAGGATCGCAGCAAAGCCCGTGGTCTGTCGGGCAATACTCGACCAACCCGAATTGGGGGTTGTTCGGCACGTAGCAATCCATAGCCCCGCCTCTTTGCGCGCATCTCTACAGCGCAGGGGCGGAGATTTTGCTCATTGTTCAATCAGTTGCTTAGATGCTCAGTTTCCGACGCTTGTAGTCGCGGGTTGGCATTCTGGAATGTTTTTAAATACTTTTAGTTGCTGAACTTACATAGGGTTTCATATATTATTAACCTAGTACATATGTGTATGTTAAATTGTATGTTTGTAACTGCATCTACGACACAGGACAAAATCCTAATGTGCGGTGCAAGGTTTTTTTTAAAAAGTAAAAAATGTATTGTAACCAGACTTAAGTTTAGGTCATAGGTAATGAAAGGTAGGTTAGGTACCTAACTAAACTCGAACCATGTAGAAATTAAGTGTAAGTTCTCACCACCAGCATTTTACAATTATAAGATTTGAATGAAAGATTTCTACTACGCTACAATTTTCTGGAAATATGTTACAGACTTAAGTTTAAGTTATTTAAAAGACTTGTACAGTGTGTGAGTAGGTATAGATCAGACAATTTCGAAGCTAAATTCTATCTGCTTATAAAAAAAGGTTAGATACTTTCATAAAGCAGACGAAATACAGATGATATTGTATAGATTTATTAGGAGTTCAAAATGAAAAACATCAATAAAAAATCTTATGAAATTCTCTCTCTTAAATCTAGGAGCATGACAGTGTTCTAGCCAAGTCTCGAGCAAAACGGGCATCGCCATACCATCCTTTTCCAGAACCGTTTCGTAGCTATTAAAGTTTTCTGCTACCAAAGATTATGATAACGGAAAATATGAACAGTTAATATTCCCAGTTCTTTTTTTCAAATGTTTGTCGCTGCACACTTTTGTTGACAAAAAGCCATTGTACAAAGGTGTTACACATATAATTATACTCATTGTGTTATTAAAATTGTTATTAAGTATCTACTAACTTATTAAAATAACAGAACTGAATTGATTCATTACGTGCATTCTAGGGTACTTATTTAACAAGAAAAGAGACTGATCTCTGACTTCTCTGAGTTTGTTTCGGCATTTCTTCTCAGATTAGGTAGTCAAATCAACTAGTTTTTTTATACATAATTTTGAGGTGTATAATTGTTGTTTTAGTCACCTTTTTGCAAAAACAAATTTATTGTTTCATTGTCTAATTGTTTCAAAAAAAGAAGTAGGTATTCGAAACCCAATTTAAAACCACCATAGTTAGTCGGTAGCATAATGTCACTTAGAAAGCTTAACGCACGTATTATATTTAAAAGGAGGTGTCCTAAGGAACTTCTCGTTGGTCAGTATCGGTTTACATGTTAATTCTTATAACCACAACCATGCTACTGAATAAAACCTCAAAGCTGTGATTCCAGATCGTGGGTACATTCTATTTTTGAAATTTAACCTTTGTTCTACATATCTTTAGGTTCTGAGGGCTTAGACAAAATAACAATTTAAAACTATAACGAAAGTTTGAAAAGACTAACATTTTTGAAATTAACACTAGATGCCTTCAGCAGGGGTTGCGAGGTAAGCGCAATAAGTCACCATAACCTCGGCTCAAAGCAGGAGCAGCAACGGGCAAGTTTTAGCTAATAAGAGTCTGACATAGGGAATGTCCCTTAACTTTTCCCGCCCAACCTTGGGCATTAGACGTAATTTGATGATTTTACACTCACAAAAAAGGGCTTAGACACATTAACAATTTAAAAATGATATCTAACGAAACAAGAAAAGAGTAATATCTTGAAATTGGCATAAGACGCGTGGTCGATCGACATTGTTATCGCTTTTGGTAGACACTGGTAATTTATTGCAAAGCAAGTAAATTCGTTTCCAATTACCGAGTCAGCAAAGGATCTTCGAAAGTTTGCATGATTTTTTAAATTAGTAGACTTTAGGACCCCGTTTTAGGATTCTCTCCTGAGTGCGTTTACGAACTTACAATTTCACATCCCGGCCCGCAACAACGATTGTTGTATCACACAGAATTCATACGATCACACAGCAGCCGGTTGCTCAGTCACCGCATTAAATATGCAGTCATTACTCGAATAGAGGCTTAAATTTTGCTTGAGATTTTAGTAAAATCAAACTGTTTCTGGTAGCCTTTTTATTTCTTTTTTGGGGATGGAATATCGTCACAAAATTACTTGAGGGACGAGAGTGTCAGAGTCTCACTGACTGAAAACCAGTTCGCTTCTCTTCCTTCTTCAGGCCGCATTACGTGGGATTCAAAAAACTTAACATAATGCACAAGCAAAATAATATATGTGGTACATTCAGTATTGCCATAAAGTGAGAAAGGACTTTAGGTAATTTTCTATTGTGATCAACTTTCTGAACGACTAAACGGATCTAATTACTATATTATAATAACAATTCCTAGCGTCGATAAATTTTGTTGCAGAAGTCAAACTAGTGGTGGAAAAAATCTATACTAAGTAAGTAAGTAGGTAATATTGTACCTAAAGCTGTAGAGTTTATTTGAACAGGCTAATCTCCGGAACTAACTGGTTAGAATTAAATTTATTAAGGAGCCTATAGCCTTATAGGCTACAAATCATTTGTAGAAAACATTAAGTTACGATCAAATAGAGAGTAGAACTGTGGGCTTAACTTTATCCAAAAGTATCCCAAGATTTTACAAAAAGAAAATGAGAATATGAAGAACCTGGGAAGCCATTAACAGGTTGAGTAGGTACCTTATTTAGTTTAGGTACTTAAGAGACTTCTTTGTTTAAAACTTTACGTTTGTCAAAATTTTACCAAAGAAGGTAGGGAGGTAGGCAACAAGTAAAGAACATCGAACAGGAAAAAAACTCGACAAGTCAAGCCAAAACTTTTAGTGTTATTACTTTTTTATATCTATGGCCAATACCCACGAAAATAATTATGTAGATACGAGGACATTGTTAATATTTAAGTTTTTCAAAAATGGAATAGAAATATATTTTCCTTTTAAGCTTTTAATCTTGGTTATTGGAGACACAATATAAGGACAATAAACAAGTGCGCCAACAAAGGCGTTCGCTTTGGGTTTGATGAATTTTGACGAATAAAAAGCGTAATTACTTTTTTCTATCACTCATAATTATTACCTAATTTCTGATACAGAGAAGTGAAATCATTTTAATATTTCTTTGCAGGGCCTTTCATCAGGAAAGATGCACTATGGAATCAACTTGCACGGTTGTCTTAAATTATTTTTATTTGTGTTGACTCTCACTATAATATCTTTTTTAATCATTACTACCACCAACTTATCTTTGAAGCATAGAAATATCTAGCTTCTTCATATCGTTATTAGATATTTATTGCAAATGGAAAATATTTATTTTCTCGAATAGACGTTTCTTCTTTATTATGGCATACCTAATCAATTTTCTCTTTACTTTTTGGTCTTCTTGAAGTATTCTTTTTATATCAAGAGATATCTATAACTATTTTGGTTAATTAAAACCAAAACATGGTTTTAATTAACGGCTTACTCAAGAAAAGATTTGAGAACGTCACTTAAAGTTTAAAGCCACGTCAGGGTTGAAACCCTGACGATGACGTAGCATAGTCTATGAGCCTTCTGCGTACGTAAATAAGAAGATAACATGAGTTAATGTTCTTTTAAAAACGAATTTATCATCAACGCCATCACTAGCCTGTGCTGGCTTACGCCATAGCTGCCTGGTGAGCAAAGGCCTCTTCCCACACGGAGAAGGTTTGATCACCAAACACACCGCTTTATTACTGCATATGCCTATGGGGCTTTCAAATTTAAAATAATTACAAATTATAAGTAAGGTCATTTTTCCTAGCGATATTTTCCTTTACCGTTATATTTTAATAGGTTTTATAACAACCTCTATGAAAATACTTTGCACCGATATTATTCATTATATGGCCGGCATGGAATTAGCCACGTAATCCTGTCTAGCGGCAACAGAATAAGCCGATTGAAAAGCAAATGAATGCAGAATTGTGTTATTGTAATCGATATGAGTACATACATCGATAGATACATACTCGTATGTACTTAGGTAAGGGCGTTGTAGAAGTACATTGATCGATATCCTATGATAGGTACTGAAGAACAAGAAGGAAGAAAGTTTAAGAATACTTTTCTTTTTAGTCAGGGGAAAATCATCAAATCACTACACCTGCCCAGGGTAAAACGAGAGATAGTGTCAGACTCTTACTGACTAATAAAACAATACTCCGTTCCTTCTCCTGCTCTAGGCCAAAGCCGCGGTACCCTATTGCGCTTGCCCCGCAACCCCGAATACCTTTGGTGTTGCAAATTTTTATACTTAGGCTTTTTTTATAGTGAGGGGAAAATCATCAAATCACTTCTTCCGCCCTGACTGAGGCAAGAGGCAGAGGCAGACTGTTACTGAATAAAAACCCCTGTTCCTTCTCCTGCTCTGGGCCGAGGTTGCGGTGCCTCATTCCGCTTACCCCGCAACTCCGGCTGAACATCAGCCCAATAGAGCCCCGTCTGTGGTGGTAGCTATCCTATGCAAAGGTGAGCTTTTAAAATTTATTTTGCTGCAATCTTTCTTTTTCAACTCTATGTTACTAAAAGGTGTAACTATTGCTCGAACGAAGTACCTAGAGTATCGTTCGACGCGGCTGATACCATGGCCTCTCAGAAAACCGGAATGAAACAACGAAAGCGTTGTATTTCGTGTGTAAGTTACCATCGTCCAACCACTTCGATAAAATTTCGTAGGTAAACTTGTCCAATAAAAATCATGTCAAAAGGAATTACTTCGTAGCCAGTACAAATTGGCAATAAAGTACCGCGCCCTCGACCTGGTGCAGGAGAAGGAACGGAGGTGTTTTAGTCAGTAGATAAGGGTCTGATACTTCCTCTCTCCTTATCTCGTCGGACTAAGTCATTTAATGATTTTTAGCTAGAGGTTTTTTAAACTGGTCCTCGGTTCCCTTCGAAACATCATCATCATCTTCCTGCCCTTGTCCCGTTTTATTTCGGGTCGGTCGGTTCCATTCTGTCCTGTCACCCGTC